TACAGTGTGTTTTCTTTTACTTTTCTTCACTGTACGTGTATTATAAATTTATAACTTAATATGTGCTATTTTTTTGCCTTTGCAGTTTTGTATTCAAGAAAGAAACCAAATTTTACCAGAGACGAGCCAGGTATTGCATTACCTGATAGTCCGAATGTTTTATATTTGCAGTGTCTTATTACATTAGAAGTGTAGAATGTAAAAAAAAAAAAAAAAAAAAAAAAAAAAAAAGAGTATTGTGGTCTTGTATCCCTTTCTTCCAGATAACCTTGAAATATTTGTAAGTAATCATACATTAGTAATCATACTTTGCAGCAAAATATACTCCCTTATTGTGTCTTTTTTCACGTCTGTATTTGTCACCAAATGGAAGGACTTTTTTCCTCAACTGGAACTAAGGATTCCTCCTTCATTTAAATCACGCGTCATTTTTTGTGCATCAATGGAGGTTCTGCAAGCATATCTTACCTGGAGACAAAATGAGTGTAAGCTAGTGAATAATTCCAATTAATGTTGCAAAATGGATACTACTGCCTTATTTTATAGAGTCCTATTCTTTGCAGGTCACATAAAAAATCTGTATGCTACTTGTTTTTGGGAGCTTGTAAAATGTGGAAAGCCTGAAATAGAGGCTAAATTGATTCTGAAGGTGGTAGCCATTTAGTCTGTTATACATAATATTTTCTTCAATCTTTTACAACCCCCCCCCCCCCCACCCCTACCCCCCCCCCCCACACACACACAGCAAAAAAAAGGAAAAAAAAAAAAAAAAAAGAGGAGAAAAAGACAGTGTGGAACCCAGTTCTATGATAAACAAGAAATTCTGACTTGCATTTCTCATGGTGACCTTACATATTAAAATGAAACAACTTATAATATTTATCCCCTTGATCCAGTTGGATTGAAAAATCTTCAATTTGTTTAGAGGGAGGTTTCAAATATGAATATGAGATTGATAAATATTTGTTCTTTCACTCAAGGAGCATGGTGCCATGGAGGCATCTCCTCTATATTTAAATGAAGGAAACGGATGCAAATAAGATTATAAGAAATTTAAAGTTCCCAGACATCATCTTATTTTTCATTTTCCTTAGTAATGTTCTGAGATGGGATATCTTGGAGAACCAGTTGTTCTTAAAATAGGCATTTAAATGATTTCCAGCATATATGACTCATGTAATTCAAAACACTTATAATTCATATTACTTGAATGTAGTGAGTTTGGAGTTTTTATATTAACTTTTTCTCATGTATTTATCTGTAATCCTATCGCTCAAATTGGAGTTAATGTTTCTGCTGTTTTATTTTGGGTTACTTGTAGTTTTCTCAATTAAGTATTCCCACAGCTGTCATGTCTTTCATCCACTTGATTGTTGTTCAAAGGCAATTTACAATTTGTTTACTTTACATGGGTTTATAGTTCACTTACAGCTTAGTAGCTTACTGATAATATATTTGGGTATATTCAGCATAGATTTAGTTGAAGAGAAAGTTGATATTGATTGAAATGCAATTTTCAATTATTATTTATTTTTTTCTTTGGTAGGGAACTCAAAAACAGGAGAAAAATGAACTTCTTTTTCAACAGTTTGGTATTAACTACAAAAAAGATGTTCAGGAGATATTTCGTCAGGGATCATGTGCTCTTAGGAAAGAGGTATCAATCTCAAGTATATGCTACATCCTTCGGTTCTTCAAATGTTCTAATTGGTCCAATTTGAAATATATCAGTTTTAGTTGGGGTAGAAAACACTATAATGGGCTCCATTTCATGTTAGTTCCATGTTGCATAGTGCATACTATCAGAGACTTTAAGGTTACAGACCATATGATATTGCATTCTGATCAATCTTACTTGGGAAGTACCACACTGAGTGAAAACCAGGTTTATTTTTATTTTTTTTATCATATTCCTTCAACATTTGGCATTTGTGTAATCCCCACAATGTATGACAAACACACTTTAGGGGATCAAAGCTTCCACTTTTTAATACCAGGAACTGCTATTCACCACATTTTTAGACATTTCCTGTGTAATTCATGAAGTAACATCCCAAGCCCCCCTTCCCCCAGTGCCCCCACCACCATGTTGGAGTTAACATAAGGTATAGTTTGCAAATCAGCATATGATTTAGTGCTATTCTATATCTGCGCACCTCCAACTTTTATGTCATTCTTTATCCATTATGATTCAGGTTGAAGATATTGTGAAGTACCAGGAAGATGGCACTCCTGTTAGGAGGAGGAGGAAGAAAGTAATTATTGAGCATTCTGAAAATATAACAGCTAGAAGCTTCTGGAATGATCAGCAATCTCTTAGTAAAGATGTGGGCTCTTTTGGAGAATGCATTGAAAATATTAAACCTGAGTATATCAAGTCTTTCCAATTTGAAACCAAACTGATGCCATCTACTTGGATTGTCATTCGAATTGATGGTTGCCACTTCCATAGGTAAAGTTCCTTGTACTTCACCTTTTAATGCTCATTGTTCCATTGGGTGCAATCTTATTGAATAAATAAGATAACTGCTCCCTCTAATGCATTTTAATCACTTTATGTGGTGAGCTAAAGTAATCTTTGATTGACATTGTCAACTATACACTTCCAAAGTTATGAGATTTCAATTGCTGAAAAAAAGTAGTAATTTTCATGTGGTTTAATTTTTAACTACTCTGTTTTATTTTTTAAAAATAAAAATTTTACAATTACTGAAACTTATTTCATAATTGGTCAAATTAATGAAATGAACAATGCAGTAGCTAATTATTTATTTAGTCCTCAAATTAGTATAAAACTTATCTGGCTTATCTGTATTTCCTTACGAAATATTTACTTTATTTTCTGCTTTGAAATGTGCTAGTATTTCTGTTGTTCTCCTTTATTGGTTGATAACTTACTTTTGAAGCATCAATATCTGTATTCAAATTGTAATATGGAATTAGTCATTGCTTAATAAGGAGCGTGGATAATAGTCTTAGCTTGACAAGCTTTAAAAATGATATTTAATGAATAGTGGTGCTTCATAATGTGATTTTTTGTGTACTAACTCTGAAATAATTCAATATACTTGCACATTTGATAGGTTTTGTGATGCTCATGGTTTTGACAAACCAAATGATGTGCAAGCTTTGAACCTTATGAATTCTTGCGCAGTTTCTGTGGTGGAGGAGTTTAAAGATATTGTCTTCGCATATGGGGTGAGCGATGAATACAGGTAATAGTTACTTATTTGCTTGTGTGATAGTTCTTTTTCTTTATAACAGATTCTGATTCACTTTTTTTTTCAGCTTTGTTCTGAAGAAAGACTCTTTGCTCTATGAAAGGCATGCCAGGTAACTCTTTCATAATCCCACCTAGTCTTAAATATATTTTTTTCTCTTTGTTAATTAGTATTATAAAGAAAGATGAAATTGTATACTCCTTGGCTCTTTGCGTATTGTAGATATATGTCGAGAAGTAGCTTAATGAATTGTATAATTAACCATAATATGTAGAGCATATGGAAAGGAATAATATGTTTATTCCTATTATCTTCCCTTCTTTTACTTTCTTTGTATCCTTATGCATGCTATGCAGAAAAGAGTAAAAGACCTTTGCCGATTTTTGCTTTGAGGTCATCATTTAACAAATCATGTTTTCTTAAGTGAGGTTTAATACATTTAACCTATTTCAACAGTACACTAGGACCTTTTTGATTGGCAAATGTAAAAAAAATGTTGACTATTTACTAGCTACTTTGATCATGTGTGCAGTGAAATAGTCTCTGCCATTGTCTCTCTTTTCTCTTCGAAATATATGATGAAGTGGAATGAGTTTTTCCCCCAAAAAGACTTGAAGTACCCACCATTCTTTGATGGACGATCTGTTTGCTATCCTTCCTCAAAGATTCTCCAAGATTATTTGGCTTGGAGACAAGTTGACTGTGAGTACTTTTAAGTATAAGTTTTATATAAAAATTTGAGTGAGGTAGTCTGAGAATATCAAGTATAATAAAGTTTGATGTCCCTTTTTCTTGATCATTGGTTCGGAACATGCAGGTCACATTAATAATCAGTACAATACTTGTTTCTGGATGCTCGTCAAATCTGGCAAGAGCAAAACTGAGTCTCAAAACTGCCTTAAGGTGCATTGCTTCTTTTTGGAATATCTTTTCGGGATGTCTTTTTTTAAGTTGAAGTGGCAGTGGCCTATCTGTTATATACTTATATACAATTGTTGGAACAAATTGATATCTTTTGCATATTTCTCCAGCAAATGTTTGTACTTTTTATTTATTTATTTATAATTTGGTACTTTGAAAATAGTGAAGAGAAAAGAGAAATATTCTAATAATCAGTCATAGAATCCTTAAGGTGTATGTATCATGTGATTCAATTGAGCAAAACCTTTTGGGACAAAATAAGATTTATATATCCAAAAGCAATCCAAAAAACCTTTCATACTTTTATGGAACCATCAATGTGAAAATAGACCATCACTACCCACTGGAACAAGCATCATATACTCCATGCTGAATATCTTTGTTTTGCAGGGCACTCAAACGCGAGAAAAAAATGAAATGCTTTCCCAATTTGGGATTGATTACCACAATTTACCTGCCATTTTCCGTCAGGGGTCCTCTGTTTTCTGGGACAAGGTAGTTCCTCTGCTTTCCAATTTGGCATTGATTGCCACAACTTACTACCCTTTGCTCCTTAAACTTTATTTGTTACGTGATCTTCGCTTCATTTTGTTTTATGATGTTGATCAATACTAGCATGAAAATTTATTTCATTTGCAATGAACATTTTCTATATATGCACATATATTTCGACATTGGGGTACTTAAATATACTTCGGCTTATGCTGACTTGTCCAGGAGGAAACAAAATCAGACTGCAGTACTGAAGGTGCAATTGAGAAATGTCGCAAGAAAGTCGTGGTTGAGCATTGCAATATAATCGATACAAGCTTTTGGAAAGCACACCCAACAATACTTGAAGAGGGTACCCACTGTTGTCAAGCACTAGGTACCTCAACTTGTAGCTAATGCACCTTTTGATACTCGTAGCTTTTGTCCGCATGGGTTTAGCTCAATAGTTCAGTAGGCAATATTTGGGAGAAGAGACCAATGTTTGAACTTCGGCGGCGGCAGTGTGGAGTGCGCACTAGCATTTGGCCCTGTCTACTAAGCCATTGAGTCACCGTATTTACACCAATATTTCATTATGTATCTTGATTCCTGTACCTATCCAAAAGCATTTTTTCTTTTCTTTTCTGTACATTTTCTTTAAAATGAAGCAAAGGTGGTGAATTTAGGATTTAAATCTCGTTGATTATTAAATAACATTTGGCTTTGTTTGGCAATCTTCACAAAATTGGTAATTTTTTATCTTTAGCTTTGGCTTTGCTATAGTTATGAATTCTGGTGGAGCATATGGTACTTGGATCAGGCCTGACCATTCATGGGGCAATCTTTATGTTATGGACTAGGGTTCATTTTATATAATAGATCATAGATACACATTCATTTTTAGTGTATTAGTACATTAAAAATGAACACGTATAAAAATATAATGAATATATAAAAAAGGGAAAATGACACTTTTTCTCCCTAAGTTATATACTTATAGCACTTTTTTCACCTCAATTATTTAAGTGGCTCTTTTTTCCTCTGAAATATTAAATGGACATATTTACCCTTAAAATAAATATATAAAATTAATATTTCATTTATTTTTATTCTCCAACAAATTATTACTATAATTTGGTTCAAACCAAAGAGATACTATAGCAACCAAACTAAAATATTTCAATTACAATTTATAATCAAAACGCGATATTTAGAGTTTATTAAAATCGCGAACTGGAATGGCCAGTTCATGTTCCGAACTGAAAAAATAAAATATATTTATTGTTGAATTTAGACTATTTTAAATAAAGACGGTTCAAAATCGCGAATCGGATCCGGAACCGTCGGTTCACGGTTCATGATCCAGTTTTTTTTTATTCTTAAATTTAATAAATTGAAATTCAAATATTGGATTCTAGATCTGAATCATAACTGAAAACTTTTAATTCGATTGCTATAGTGTCTGGTTCAGTTCGAACCGAACCGTGGTAATCGCTACATATACACAATAATTTGTTGGAGAAGTAAAATAAATAAAATGTTTGCTTTAAGGGTAGAAATGTCAATTTAATATATTTGGGGAAAAAACCACTACTTTTAAAATAATTGAGGGGACTAATGTGCTTACATAAATAATTGAGGGGAAAAAGTGCTATAAATATATAATTTAGGGAGAAAAAGTGCAATTTTCCCTATAAAAAATGAACTTTATTAGGATTAATATTGTTAAATGGATCCAAAATCCACGATATAATTTGTCTTCGAAGAGTTCAAATAGTTCGGTCAAGCCCACAAGATTGGCATAATCCAAATCACAATAGATGTTAGGCTCTGAGAACATTCCCAATAGAGTTTTTGGGGAGGTTTTTGAGACTTGGAGTCCTATGTGGAACTTATTGAGAGAAGGATGAGAGAGAGAAAGTTGGGTCTTGATGTGGGCCCCTACCAAATGACTAAAAAGAAAAGAAAAGAAAAAAAAGACAGTTAATGTGCTTAGAGTATCCACATCAATTTTTTTTTTTTTGAACAATTGTTTTAGAACCCAAATAGGAAAGAAAAAGAGAAAATGGAAGAAAAAGAATTTTTTTTTAACAAAAAAAAAAAAAAAACAACAACAACAATTGTCATATCTATTCCTCTCATTCTCTCTCCTTGGGCACACAAAAAAACTATTTTTTGTCGGAGTTAAAATTTGCTTCTCTCACATTCATCTCACCACGAGCTCCACCAAAAACCAACAAAAATTCACTAATCTGGATGCTCTTACGCCCAGTGACCGTGTTGAAGGTGGTTGCCAACTAATCTATTACCCTTTTTTTCCATCCTCTTTCTTACTTGGCTCATAAAAATTTTGCAAAATCAAAGAGGATGCTCTGAGAATTGGTAGCCAACTCCAGTAATGTCTCAATTGGTGATCAAGTGGGTGAAACATAATTTTTGTATATGAAAATCATAACTACTTTTTGTTGCACCAAATTCATCAATTAATTCCTTAGAAAACAAAACTATGAGATCTATCCATGGATTGATGATATATCAAAAATCATATAGTAATATATATCTAAAATATGGTCATTAAAGCCTTAAAATAAACATTGTGCAAGTTTACTCTATGCACACCTAAGATAATAACTCGAAATTCTCCACACAAAAAAAAATAACAATCTTAGTTTTACCAATCAAACCGGCAATTATCGTTAAAACCCAATAATCATTTATTATGACTTTTAGCAAAATTCATTAACAGGGTTACGGACTTAGGGTGGGTATAGTAGTTATCATCACACCAAATTGAACACTTGTCACAATACTAAGTATGGGTAGTTATCATCATCCAACAATAATCCTATTAATTTAACCGGTTTAGTTATGGAACCAGCATCTAATTAGCAAAAACAAATCATTCGTCGTTAGAGTTGGCCAACCAAAACCTACCCATCTGTATTATGAAGATGATTCTTCATTTCTTCGCATTTAAATTGCAGACATCATTGCCCTACTCCCTCACTCAAACTCCAATTTTCCCAACCATCTCATCTCAATTCTTCAAGCTTTCTTGCAATGGCTTCCAAGGTGGCTGAGATGGGTTTAATCCTGGCTGTTGCCGCCATGATGATGCTGTGGAAAGGAGCCACGGCTCAGTCTAACAGCTGCACGAGCGCACTGATTGGTTTGACGCCGTGCTTGACTTACGTCACCGGGAATTCGTCGGCGCCGTCGTCTTCGTGCTGCACGCAGCTCTCCGGCGTGGTTCAATCGAACCCGCAGTGCCTCTGTTTGTTGCTCAACGGCGGAGGTTCGAATCTCGGAGTGAATATCAACCAAAGTCTCGCCCTCGCCTTGCCCGCCGCCTGCAAGGTTCAAACTCCTCCGGTCAGCCAATGCAATGGTAAGATATTTAGGAGTTCAATTTAGTATAAGAGCTATATCAAAGGTTATGGATTCGAATCTCCACGTCACCCAATAAGCGATTACGGTCCACGTGTTGTTTCACCGCACCTGAGGGGATGTGTTGAGCAGATAACCATTAATGTGCAATCCAACTATGAGTTTAGATTTTTTAGTGAGCACATGCTTTAATTTCCACTACACGTTTATATATATATATATATATATATATATATATATATATATATATAGAGAGAGAGAGAGAGAGAGAGTTAATACCCAAAATAGTCCCTCGACTATGTCGTAATTACCAATTTGGTCCTCGACTATCATTCTTACCCAATTAAGTCCTCAACTATACAATTTTTACCCAATTTAGTCCTTCGTCAATTTGACTGTTTGTTGACTGTCAAAAGTGGAAATAAAGTTGTAATTTTACAAGTTTTCTCCTTCCTCCTCATTTAGCAGCGCCAAACCATGTAGCAATAAGCTCCGGTTGGGTTCTAAACCTGTCAGTATCGAAGTAGTGGTTATGCATCGGATAGCCCATGAATTTGATTTCCAACGATTTTTTGACGATCGAAATCTGATCGGAGTGTATTGCTGCATGGTTTGGCGCTGCTAAATGGAGAGGAAGGAGAAATCTTGTAAAATTATAATTTTATCCCGACTTTTAACAGTCAACAAACAGTTAAATTAATACAGAGGACTAAATTGGGTAAGAATTGTATAGTTGAGGACTTAATTGAGTAAAAGTTACATAGTTGAGGACTTAATTGGGTAAGAATGATAGTTGAGAACCAAATTAGTAATTATGACATAATCGAGGGACCATTTTGGGTATTAACTCATATATATATATTACATGATAAACACTCTCTTACGGTTGTTAATGGTGTTTAAAATTAAAGCTGCTGTGCCGGCGAGTTCTCCGGTTGGTTCCCAAGCACCGCCGACGTCGGAGCCGAAGGAAACGCCTCAAGTTCCCAACACGCCGGCAGGGTCTAAAACGGTTCCCTCAACAACAGCCGGCGGCCCCTCATCGGCGGCTGATGGAACGGCGAAAGCTTCTTTCCGTTTTCTGGGTTTCCTCGTATTCGCTGCAACGTTATCTATGGCTGGTTTCGGAATCTAATTTCCGACGGCGTATATAGATCGGCGTGATCATACAATGCATCATTTCTACTCGATCGAGAGGGATCGGAGCAGCTTTTGACTTGTACCATTATTATTGTATCAATTCCGAAACGTGTCATTATTCTTTGTTAGTTTGTGTTACGTTTTTGAGTATATATGTAACTGGTGTGATTATATTGATTGTAATGCTTTGTATTTGCTTCACTATGAGAGTTTGCATTATATTATATTGGTCCATTTTCTCACTTGGTTGGGGGATCTTGCAATTGGTATACCATGGAACCGAGTCCAAAAGACACAATTAAAATACAAAATACTGCAAAATAAAAATACAAACATTAATTTTTACTCAATATATACAATCAATAGTGAATATCAATTCCTTTCATCATAAAATAAAATGAGAGCGAGTCCGGCATATAGTCCTGACCCAATCTGTAGGAGTTATTATACCATAAACCAGGATTCACCTTGCAAGGTGTACTTTAGTCCTAAATGACGTATGAATTGTGTATTTTTAGTATTGGAATTGTGAACTTCTACAATATAATCGTTGTAGAAGATAATTTGTGAATACAACAATCTGTTCATATTGTTTCAGTGCAGTATTTGAAAGGAACTTGTGAACGCAAGACAAGATAATCAATTATATATATATATTAACATTGTAGTATACAAATTATAAACTTTTAAAAGATAAATTATGAATATTCGGACCCAAATCCACTGCAAGATGGACTCAGATCCAGAACATAATTTGCAAATCTGTAGGCTGCCTAACTGTGTGGAAAATATCATTCTTAGTAAGCAATATAGGCAGTGGAAAGATAGCATTTTCGTATTTGAGATGGTACCAGTCAGTGAGCAGCTGGAGTCTACCAACTACCAAGCTATGGGTTAGGTGCTAGGTTGCGTTTAAAACTCTCATTAACCCCACTTCTATGCAATAAATCATATACGACATGTAATAAACTCAATTGAAAAGGTGTTGGTAAAAATTACAAATCATGACTTTAAAGTATATAAATTATAGTGCGAATCATGACTTTAAAGTATATAAGTTATAGTCCATCACTCGACCACCTCTTTTAAGATAACGTGTTTGTGTTTTAATTATATAGTTAATTATGTCACGTTATCCAATATTTTTTCTTTGTTATTCATACAATGTTCGAGAACATCCAATTCCGTTTTTGAATTGGAAACAACTTCATACAAACGTACAAATTTGAAAAAAAAGTACTAATTGTTTCATAATCCGACTATTACATTGAAAAAAAAAAGTATAACTATTTCATAATTCGATTACTACATAGTTCACAGTTACCATGTCAATTTTTGTTAATGTGTCAATGTCATTTTTATCATATTACTAATAGAAATTAGAAAGAAAGATTAACTTGTTGGATATGTGATATGTATGATATGGTTAATTGCATTTTGCTATCATTATGTGAGGAAATTTTCAAATTCCAATCAATAGATAATGAATCCCCAACTCTAAGGGTTCCACGTTTCGACCTGATAAAATATTTGAAAAGATGTAAATTATAGTAATTCAACTGAATATTTGAAGTATTGTTTCTAAATTTATGTGACCAATTGAGTTGTCCATTGGAATAAGAAGGCAAGAAGGAGAGCAAGAAAAAGTGAAAAAGAAAAATAAAAATGATTTTTTTCAACGAAAAATGAACACGTTGTGCGCGTGGCATACGGGTTGTCCAAACAACCAGAACCCAGAACACCAACAGCGATTGAGGAATACGAATATACTGGTGCCTAATTCTATTTCTACATTTCCCATGTCCTAGGGTAAGGTAAACGCACACCAAGCCTTAAGCTATTTTTCAATAACTCTGTAATTCCACACGAAATTCTGCGACCACTGGGCCTCTCGGGCACCCTTTTCCACCCTTCTTTAACACTCTTTGAATTCTTGAAGGGCACAGCTAATTCGGGTTGCGGTTGCTTCGCAGGCAAGTGTTCATCTTTCTTGTTCTTTTTATTTTTTTGTCTGCAAATTTGGTTCAAATCTGCTGAAATTGGACTTCCTTTTGGGGTTCCGGTAAAACCCATTTATGTTTTGCGTTGTTTCGTAATGTTGTTTCTGGTATAAGATTGTGAATTTTGCAGATTTCCTTTTTTTTTTCGTTCGGAATCTTGTTTTAGGGCTTTAATTTTTATAATTTGGGCTGATTTATCTTGCCCTTGGGGTTTGCATGGATTGATTCATGAATTTAAGATGTGGGTGTATGTTCTTTTGCTAATAAATTTTTGAATTTATCGGAAAGATTAAATTCTTGTGTTGCGGAGTTGATTTTTATTAATTCTTTGGCTGTGCGTTATAGTGCTTGTTGATTCATTCTGATCTTTAGTGCCTTGATCATAATTTGCTGAAATGAGAATGTATTAACTCTGGGATTACCTTTAACTACTAGTAAGCCAAGAAGCTGATTTGATTCTTGAACTTTGGAGAGAAATGAACTCATATTATATACTTGTTAAAATAGAAGTCTATGTCTTCTCGGTTGTAACTGTCCAATACGATGTCTGATTGTCAAGACTCAAGATTGAGGTTTTGATGCGAAACTGCCAATGTGCATTTCGATATCACAATTGTTTTTGCAGTTTTGGTCTTATGACATGGTGATTAGTTTTCCTCGAACTATTCAGTTGCCCTTCTTTGCTGCCTACTTGTTTCTCCCAAATCTCCAATTTGCAACATTTTTAGGTTCTATTTTTCTCTTATCTTTTACCAATTGGAACAAAATTCGAGTTTTAAAGGTGGGAAGGGCTTAGTGTAAAGCCCGGTTTAGAGGTAACTTCTAATACTAGGTAGATGCATCCTGGGTTGGACTTCCATTTGGAAGGTTATGAGTTCAAGCCTCAGTGAAGGCGTTATTGGTTCTTTGTGTTTCAGTAGGTTGAGAAAGTATATGAACAGATACTACAATGTAATAGGGCCAGTAACATTCAAAAAAAAAAAAAAGGTAGATGCATCCCAAACACAGCATCTATTGCCATAATTCTTTGCCGGTTACAAATTTTATGTAATCATGCAGGTTTCAAATTTCAAAAGCATTTCTGGCGAGAGCTGCAAATTGCCATCATTCTTTGCCAGGTAGAGATTGATGCAAGTTTAACTGTTATGTCTGTACTCATTGAAGGTCTCCCCGATGCGGTTGCCCTAAGGTGCCTTGCATGGGTTCCCTTCTACCTTCATCCCAAGTTAGAACTCGTTTCCCATTCTTGGAGGGCAGCTGTTCGAAGTGGTGAACTATTCAAAGCTCGACAAGAAGTCAATTCATCCGAAGAGTTTTTGTGTGTATGCGCTTTTGAGCCTGATAATCAATGGCAGCTTTACGATCCTGCTTGTGACCTTTGGATTAAACTCCCCGTCCTCCCTTCGAATATAAGACAACTCGCCCATTTCGGCGTTGTCTCCACTGCTGGAAAGCTTTTTGTTCTCGGTGGTGGCAGTGATGCTGTGGACCCCTTGACCGGTGACCAAGACGGAAGCTTTGCGACCGATGAGGTCTGGAAATATGACCCGGTAACCTGGCAATGGACCCTCTGTGCACCGATGATCGTTCCACGTGCAATGTTCGCTTGTTGTGTATTGGATGGGAAGATAGTCGTTGCGGGGGGGTTTACTAGCTGCCGGAAATCGATATCTAAAGCTGAAATATATGACCCCGAGAAAAACGTCTGGGTTTCAATACCCGATCTCCATCACACTCATAATACCGCGTGTACGGGCGTGGTTATTGACGGTAAAGTTCACGTTTTGCACAAAGGGTTGTCGACAGTTCAGGTCTTGGAAAGTGCGAAGCAAGGTTGGACCGTTCATGACTATGGTTGGCTCCAGGGCCCCATGGCCGTGGTTAGGGGAAAGCTTTATGTTATGAGCCACGGCCTCATTTACAAACAGGAAACGGAATCGAACAGGGTGGTAGTTTCGGCATCTGAGTTTCGTAGAAGAATTGGGTTTGCCATGACAGGACTCGGGGACGACATTTACATAATCGGAGGGGTCATTGGCCCCGAGAGGTGGAACTGGGACATCATATCAACGTCTGATGTCGATGTTCTGACGCTTGGGAGCGAAAGACCGGCGTGGCGCCAGGTGTCTCCCATGACATTATGCCGGGGAACGATTCTTGGGTGCACCCAGCTGAGAATTTAGGTTACCATCGATAATGTGGAGAAGGTTATTCGTTACTTCTTTCTATTGTTTTCAGATATGGTGTTGATGAAGGTTTATGGAATCGGGTTTTCCTGCTAGCTTAGCTACCTTGTTTTTGCATAATTGCATGCATGTAAACCATACTGCTTTTCTGTTTGCAGAGTTTTTACAATCAAGAAACTTTGTAGCTTTGTGGATACTTGAAATCCAGCTTTACTATGTTAACATGACAAATTTGCTTTGTTTTGCTCCCTTCCTCTTTTCTTTAGCTGCATATTCCCTAATTTATGTTGTCTTTCTATCTGTTAGTATTGTGTAAAGCCTGATTATACCCCTTAATATAGTACCCTCATTGCTTAGTATGGCACATAAGGCACAAAAGTCTAAAAATACACAATTTGTATATTGAATTTTTACAATTTTACATACTAAATATTTACAATTTACATACTAAATATTCACAATTCAGTATGTTATTTGTGTACTTTAGACCCTGGTTCACCTCAATTGTTATGCTGTGGAACTGTGTCCATCTTACAAGGTGGACGCAGTTCTATATTCATAATTACTAAACTATATGTTCATAATTATAAAATTATATATTCATAATTATTTAACTCTATATTCATAATAACAGAACTCTATGTTCATAATTATAAAGCTATGTTTTCATAAATTTTGGACTTTATATTCACAAGTATTGAATCTCTATATATTCATAATTACAGAATTATATATTCATAATTATGTTCACAACTTTATATTCATAATTATATAACTATACATTCATAATTTTTGAACTATGAAAAACTTTTAGAACCGTGTCCACCTTGCAAGGTGGACACAGTTCCACAGCATAATTTGCCCGCCCACCTTAAGGTGGACCTCGGTCCATGGTATAACTGTTGGAGCACTACAGTGTAGGGTCAGGCCCAAATTAATTACGGGCCTTAGGCTTATAAACCCATTTCAATTGTCTTATTGGGCTTTACGGTTTCTCAGATCTCCTCTCGATAATCCGATGCAAAACCGCTAAAACAAAATCGAAAAACCCTAGGTGAAAACGTTTGTTAATCATTAAACCCTGAAAGGAACCGAACTCGAATTTCGATCTGCAAAGGAATGGAGGAAACCAACATGGATGATAACGAGCAGAACCGGGAAACGGAGGCTGCTCCGGCACTAATTGCAGTTCATCCGACCCAAGAATCGGTTGCCGTCGCTGTTGGCTCGGACCTCCGCGTCTTCAATCTTCGGTAAGCCACCCTAGATGATATTAAACCTTTTTTTGTTTTTTTTTTTTGTTTGTTAAAGCGGAATTGGAAGAAAAACAAAACTGCTGTTACGGCTATATCGTATTTTTTACTCAACAATTACCTGGCAGAGGTCATTCAGTATCGTTGCTGGATGAGTCTGGAGGAAACAAGCATAAGGATTCAATTAGAGCGATCCGATATGGAGCAGAAGGGAAGCTATTCGTATCTGCAGGGGATGACAAGCTTGTTAAGATTTGGGTCACTGATTCTTGGCGTTGTACACATTCTGTGTAAGTTTCTGATGCCATATTTCATCCAGTTCAGTATAAAAGCTAGTTTATAATTAGCTCAATCTTAAAATTGACCATATCCCAAGCAAAAATTAACTAACTTTAAACTTTCCTTGCTGTTTTGAACATTTCAGTTTAATAGAGTTTTTACTTGGATATTCTGGATTTAGACAGTAAGAAATGCAAAGAAAGAATAACGGATTATGTTCATTCAACTTTCAAGTTTTAACTAGTAGGAGTTTGCTTTCTTTTGTCTTATTATGCATGAAGTAATAAACAAACCTGCACTCAGCTTCTGATGTTTATATGTTCAGCTTTTGATGTGGTGAATATTGATTTTTCCATAGATAAATATTGGTAAATTATAAAATTAATTTTTGTTGCTTGTGTTATCCACATGGGTGATTCGTTCTTAAAATAGATAGTTCAATCAACAAAAGCTCATAGAAATATTGCATGTTTAATAGGCTAATGCATATTTATCTTACTCTTGGTCCTGTTAACAGTTTATCGGAGAAAAGAGTTAGTGCTGTTGCTATAAGCAAGAATGGTCGCTTTGTGTGCTTTGCAGACAAATTTGGGATGGTATATATAACCGATATAGAGAGTTCTGAAAAGCAAGATATTCCCAATAAGAAGGCAGTTCCAATTCTTTCCCACTATTGCAGCATCATTACTAGCCTGGTATTGGCTTTTTCGCCTGCTCCTTACATAATGTTGTTGTTTTTTTGTTTTATTTTATTTTAATACTCCTGTCAGGAGGTGTCTTGAGATTTATCTAGTTTTTTTTTTTTTTTTTTTTTTTTTTTTGAATAAACTAATTAATGCTATTTTCAATTTATGCTTATCCAAGCAGGAGTTTTCACCAGATGGGCGATTTATCATTAGTGCTGATCGGGACTTCAAAATCCGAGTAATATAACTTTCCATACTCATTAGTAATATGTGATTTTGTAACTTTTGAGGTCACTTATAATCCAAAATGTTAGGTTACTCTCTTTCCCCAAAACCCGTTGAATGGAGCTCATGAGATTCAGAGCTTTTGTCTCGGCCATACCGAGTAAGTATCTCTCTTCAAGTGCATTTGCTGACAATTATCTCCTGAAAGATGATAGTTAAGCTAACAAGTGCTGTGGATTTTTTGGACTTCTTTGTTGTCAGGTTTGTCACCTGCCTTGCCTTTGTTTGCAATCCGGATTTTCCACAGGGTTTTCTAGTCTCGGGAGGTGGTGATTCAACTGTGAGTGAAAGTGGCCGATCCAAGATATTGCATTATTGAATGTTTATATTAAGTATATTAGGGTCCAGTTCCCCATTGTATTTTTTTTTATAGTGTCTTGCGGATCTCACTGCAGAAATTTTTTCAGATTCGCTTATGGGACTATGCTTGTGGTTCTCTTCTAGACACATGCCATGTTGGATCATTGGTAGCTTTTCTTCTCTAGTACCCAGAAACATTTGAACTATACTATCGTTTTTCTTCTAGACCGTATTTATTAGTTCTAACTCCATTTTCACTTCTCCCAACATTACTCAAGGCAGGAGTTGCAGAGTCAAATGGCGGCGAAGAAGATATTATTCCTGCTGTCACTGATCTCTGTGCGACGCCTGATGGATCTCTAGTTGCAGTGGCCATTCAGAGGTAAAACCATCTTGTTATATTTTTAATATATCTTCTTCTTCATCTTCTCAAGCTCTGATTGGTATTCCGTGCCGTTCTTCGATCATAATGCAGCTTACCGGGAGTGATGTTGTTGAGCTGTGACCTTTCAACGAAAAGTCTCTCTGTTTTCAAAGTAACCCTTTTACCACTATGCTTCTCCTTGAACTTGTTCTACTGTCATTTCGCTCCGTTCCCCAATACACAAATTGTTTCGTTTTTTTGCAGGTGGTGCGAATTGATGGGGAGACTTTCATTCCCACGAGCTTGGGAGCGGGAGCTACCTCAGCAGGGTTATTATGGCTGGTCATGGGTGTCTCGAGTTTAAATGCTTCGGAATCAGGATCTTTGGCACGCGTGAGGGTCCTCTCTGGTTTCGGGAAGACCAACCAAGGCTCTACCGATCAAGAACCATCTTTTTTAGAAGATAAAGACGTACCGGGGGGAGAAGCAATGCTCCAGAAATTGCAAGGAGATTTGTGTATAAAAACCGAAGTCTTCTTAACAGCCGCTGAAGCAGTCAAGACAGCAATGCGAAATCTCTTGATCAAGAAGCAGTACTCTTCAGAGAGACGGGAATTCAGAAAGCGAGGCAGGAACGACAAGAAAAAGTAGATAATATTATTTCTTGTTCTATAAAGATGGAAGGCTGCTGATTTTGCAATTTGGCATTGTCTTCTGATGATAATTGTTGTAAAAACTAGTTGGAACAGTGTTTTATTACCCTGGTTTTGCTTCATTCTTTATCTTTTTGATGGACTTCCAAATTCTCTTGAACTTGTTTACTTTCCAGTTTTTATTTATAATACGAAAGTACGAATGAGCTGATTCATGCAACAATTTTGCACCGCGTTTTATCTGTCAATGGAGTTGGTGGTGCCAAAGAAAATTACGTAATCAAACACACTTTATTTTATTATTATAACTTTTTGAATCATATTCTACCCGTTTTAAGGCAAATTATACCATAAACCAGGGTCTATCTTGCATTGTAGATGCTGGTCTAAAAATAACTTTCAGATTCTGCTTTCATATTATGTGTCAGCAATTATCAAGTTAGTATTAGGTGTCAGTAATTATTAAGTCAGATTCTGTATTTATAGTCACATTCTATACATTCTGATAGTTTCTATATTTTTCTGTATTTGTAGTTATTATCATATTATGAAGTCATTTGTTTACATGAAGTGAAACTGTTAACGAATCCTGGTCCATGGTATAACAATTTCCGTTTCGAGGCTTCAAAGGCGTGCTGACTTTGGTGATCGGTGGTGTGACGCATGCAATTATTTATGTTGCACTTGCGTCTTCCTCAATAACAACATTACATTTGCTTCTTTATTCTATTATTATTATTATTAGGAAAAATGCTTGTTGCATTTGAGGCCGAAAAGGAAGATTGGGTTTTTTGTTTTATGGGATTTGAATTGAAGGTCTTTGAGGTTTTGAAAAAAACAAGGGAAACATCCACGCAACTTCCTCTTTCGTCTTGCTTGCATGCCGAAAACAATATGTAACCAATACGAAATGTCCCCTCCCATTATTCAATTCGCCAGGGATGTAACCCCTCAAATATTCATCTCTCTACCCTATAAACATTTATCTCGACTGGGCATCCCTCTAGCCGATAGCCAGAAGACTAATTCTTAATAAGTAATAGGGGATTGACTAAATGATTTGCTCTATTCACATGAGTGGGGATTGACTAAATGATTTGCTCTATTCACATGAGTGCGGATCAAACCTCCAACCTCATGCTTAAGGGACAAGGTGCTGAACCACCATGCCAACCATGTTGGTTAATTGAGATATAAATTGCATGTTCTGATATCACTTTACTAATCATCACATCAACAATCAACACGTGTCATAATCGACCTAAATATCCAATCAAAAAATCTTACACCAGAAATTTATCAACACGTGTCATAATCGACAGTATCCAATCAAAAAACCTTACATCAGTAATCTATCATTTATCTAACTATCAACACATGTCATAATCGGCCTGAATATCAAATTGAGAAACCTTACACCAGCAATCTACCATATATCTCCAAAGTGAGAAAGAGAAAAGAGTGGATTAAGACAAACGAGAGAATGAAGCAGCCATCATTCCTCATTTCATAGTATTTCCTTAAAACGCGTAATAATGCAAGATATGTGAATGCATGCAATATGGTAATGTTTACTTAACTTCCTATTTTATTTTTTTATTATTTATTAATTGTTTACGAATTAGTTAATGCATGTAACTAATCAAATAAAATTATACATCAAAATTAGTAGCTTTAACCAATTTTTTGGATAACTAACTAAAAGTTGAACCATATATATCTTAATAAAATAATAAAACTTGCATTATATTCTTGAATTATACGCGTTCGAATCCTCATTTAATTAGGACAAAGTTTCTAAAATTTATGCAATTGCCTTAATTAGACTCCAATTATGCAGGTAAATTCCTCATTGGGTTTCTTTCATATTTCTTAAGCCACCAAAATGCTTCCATATATAAATAAAGTAGTGATGAGAGGAACCCGTAATACTTATCCAATGATATGCACTGAATGAACTTTACATTGTGACCCTAACTGAAAAATGACCACAATGAGATAAATAAACTTAAGTTACTGACAAACTCAAATAAAAAAAGTCAATATGCTATTTCTGCTAGGAATCAAACTTGTGATATTATGGTTGCTAAGGTAATTGGCAAACCAACTTATATGAAATCATTCCAAATGCTTCCATATTAGACTCCCTTGGGCTAGGTCTTCGGTCGACTACAACATTGTCACTATACCATTTTGGTGCATTGTTCATTTCCTAAGCCGGAACACATCATACACCTATTGTTTCATAATATTTTATTTTAAGACAACTCAATAAGGTTAGTAAGACAATTAACTTATTTTTAAGAGATTTAACTTTTTAGGAAAGTTGTGACCTTAATATGAACCAATCAAACAATTTAACCTAATTGATGTATTTGTGGTCCATTGCGTATGATCACAATATTAATAATTTGTTTTTAAGTGAATTTATTAAGAAATTTGCACCAGGTCCTTTGTCTTTCGGGACGCAGTTAAACCCTCATAAAATATTAACATAACGTTTGCTTAGAAGGGAGGGATTAAGGTGGAAAAGAATTGTAATAAAGTGAGAATAAAATAGGAATTCAAATTATATTGTTTGGTAATGAGGAATCAAATTATTGGGAATTGAAAAGGAAAAAGTGATATAAAGACTCAAATGCATTTGTATAATAATAATACTCCATAATAATCATCATTATCAAGGGTAAAAGGGTCATTTCTTTAGTTTTTTCATTTCCCACTACTCCAAATTACAATTCCTATCCGGATGACTCAATGATTCAACAGACATGACCAAATATCGGTGCGCACATTGCCGCCCGTCTCGGTGCGCACACTGTCACCCGTCGAGATTCGAACCTTAATTCTTCTCTCAAATACTGTCCACTGAACCATTAAGTTAAACTCATACGGACAGAATCTAAAAATTCTAATTTTACAAATAGAGGGAGAATTGTAATTTGACGAAATTGCAATTCCCTCCCTAACCAAACATGGTAAGTGACCAAAAAATGTTGTTGTAAATTGTAATTGAATTGCTCCAAACAGCGCATAAGTATACTTCTCCGTAGTCCCGGAGTAATAAACAATTCCTGCCATCCTCATCCTCCATATATATCCCGCAACGTCCTCTTTACCAACAACTCAAATGCCCAGAACTCAATTTCTACTCAGTAAACTGCATATCTGATAAAATTTTTGTTTCGTTTTAGGGTTTGGGTTCTGCGTTCCTCTCTCTGTTTCTTGAAATCACCCGTTTCTTATCGGAAGTTGGAATCTTTTCCTCTGAATTCACCCCAGAGTTTGCAGGTTCTAAAGCCATGAAGGTTCACCCGGTGCCCAAGAAACGAAACATCACGGTCAGATACGACATCGCGTCGGCGCTTTCTCAGGCCGGCGCCGCCGTGGCTTGCCGACAGAAGAAGCTCCGGCGACTGCCCCACATCTTTGCCAAGGTACTGGAGCTCCCTTTCCGCTCCGACGCCGATGTTTTGATTGAAGAGACCCACGATTTCTTCCGCTTCATCGTCCCGACCGACGACGTTAGCGGGGATAATATCAGGGCCCACACCATCCAGATCTACCCGGGTGTTACTAAGATTGTTATCCGAGGGGACGGCCTAGTTGACTCGCCTCTTACTGAGCTGGAGCTCGACCTGTGGCGGTTTCGGCTCCCGGCGTCGACTCTCCCCGGGATGGCCAGCGCGGCGTTTAGCGACGGCGAACTGGTGGTCACCGTGCCTAAAGGGCCCCACGAAGAAGACGGCGAGGGTGAAGATGCCGGCGATATTGGAGCTGAGCAGCTTGTTTTTGTACAGTAATTCTTCATCAAAACAAACCTGCTTGGTTTATTTTTTTCTGTTTCAGTTTCTCTTAAGGTTCAATTGTGACTTCGTTCTGGTAATGGAACAACAGATGAATGATGTTATGGTAAAATGAAATGTTACCTTCCTTTATTTTCATCTTTTTTTTACTGGTGTTCCTTTTTTTACCATTCCCCTGTTTTCTTGAATATTAGTTGCAGAATCATTGCTTGCTATCTTGAATTGCAGGTAAATAACCCAGTAGTTGAAAGTTGTAATCATTAGATAAAAAATACACTTTTCTTGCATAGTTTGCCATCATGATCAGAAGTGCAATGGAATGGATTATAATTCCTTTTTTTAGCACTAATCTTCTGTTTCATTTGAGGTTTGTGCAAAGTCCAATGGAATGGTTTATGGTGGTTATTTATGTTGGAACTCATGTTACTTTTTAATGCCTCCTTTAATGATAACTTTGTTGACTTTAGTTACTTGTGTTCACCCCTTTATACGTGTTAAATAAATTCATTTGAATTTGAGTACTTTAGTTGTTTGTATTCTCCTCCATCTCTACTTGCTAAGTTTTCTTGATCAGCTGATTTCTATTGTCCTTTTCGATTCCTTAGTCTCGGTGGTCTTTTCTCTTACTGAGTATCAGCTACTCTGCTATAGAACACTTTGCGATTTGGGTAGTTGTTTAAGTTGTATTTGTTTTGAAGTTAGGTGGTTTGTCACTTTGTCTCGATTAGTCGATTGTATTTTTATTGAAGATGGATATAACAGAGCATTAACCTTAAATAATGCTCTGTCGCTGCTGTCTGAAGTGTTCTGACAGACAATTGGAGACATGTTTTTATTATCTATTTTTAGGTTATATGATATCTAATTCATTATTCTTTACTGATTACCATAGCCCAGATGTAGATCTAGTTAACGTTATTGCTGTTGACCCCATATCTTAAAGTTTCCTTGTATCCTCAAAGTTTGCTTCTTTTCCTGAAATTTTAGCATGAGTTATAATCTGTGTTTTTTGAGAGAGAGAGGAATGTTGGAAGACAGTGGTATAATCTTTTATCTGCAGTACCTAGTGAAGATGTGAAATTTAGAGAACGGACCAGACCAGACGACCCACAACTTGGGTTTTTATGCGGTATGTTCCTCTCAACTAAATGGATTAAGTTGTCGTCGAGAATATGAACAAGCTAATAGTGTACAAGCAGTATTTTGAATGATTGAACTAATTTCTTTGTGCAGATGGGTAGTTATCGTGGATATCCCTATTCTTCCTTTAATCAATTGACTGTAGTCACCATCGCAATTATTTTTCTTTTTCTGCTGAAGAATTTTCAAGAATCGGCTGCTGGTCCAGCGGGATTTGTCTGGTTTGTAGGTTTGAACTGTTAATGGCTTTGGAGATGGGATGAGTGGGCTCTTGATGGTACGCCTTTACCCTCTCACCTCCTTTGTTCTCACCCTAATATATAAATATATTCCAACACCAATTATGTTGTGTGATGTGACAATAGATAGAGAGGGAGTGCTTATGATGTTAAGATAAAAAATGGGTGGAAAGTACAGTTTTTTTTTTTTTTTTTAAATATCGAATTTTCATAGCTTTGCTTTTGCAGTCTATGAGAATCTGGTCCATTCCCCTTTCTTTGTTTTGCACTAGGGTTGGAATAGATTCTAAAACGGATTGCACTTCAATCCCAATGGCTCTCACATGTCCCTGTCCCGAAGAATTGGTGGTCCTCGTAGAGTGGTAGAGAACACACCAAGATAAACTTTATACCTCTCGTAAAAATGAACTTGTGATTGCCAATGAAACAAGGCTATTATTAAACTTTCTTTTGATTTGTCAATTGATTGAGCTATGTCCCGAGAGGGAGGGCTTTCTATCGACTATCCCTTATCATCAATGTTTCTAGTAGAGTAGGCAATTGAAGCATGTGCTCCATTTCAACTAAAAGCCTAAGCTGATAGTTAGATTGCACATTAATGGTTATATGCTCAACATAGGGCATTAAGGCCAACTTTATACCTCTATTTGTAGGAATCAAACCATGTACTCTATGATTGCTAATGAAACGGGGCTATTAACGTTTCTTTTGATTTGTCAACCGATTGAGTTATGCCTTGAGGGCAAAGCATCGGTGTTTTCAGTAGAGAAGGCACTAAACTAAGGCCAATTCTCATTTGAATTGTCGACTAATCTTGAGGGCGAGGGATGGGGTTGGAATAGATCTGGGTTTGAGTGAAATAACATGACCAAGCACCTGTCGTTCTCAGGCTTGAGGGCTCAGAGCTGCAGAGCTGAATGATAAAGGTTTTTGTGGTTCTTTACCATGTTCTATCAGGGTCATGAAGGCTGTACTTGTGGGGTTAACAAGAAGTTGTCCGACTGCCATCGACAACTTTTGGTCATTTAAGCTTTCATCTTTAAGCAACAACAGTGATGTTATCTACGGAGTATCTTGTATCTGTCTATCTATCAATTTGGGCATTTTGTGATCCTGTGCTGAACAGTGTTTTAGGCTCTTTCAGGTTTCCACGTTTTTCTATGTGCTTCTGTGTTGTGTTCTCTGCATTGTTTACTTGTGTTGGTTCTTGGTTTCATGGACTGGATTGAAAGTACCTTTAATTCAATGGTGTTGTAATTCAATGCTATTGGGTTAGGCCCATTAAGATTAATATATGGATATATGGATTAAGAGCAATACATCCATGCCAAATTGCCAATATTTCAAGCTTTAGTCCATCCTATGTGGTTGCCAATCATTATTCTTCCACACAATTATTTGAACTATATTATCAAATAATATACATTTAGTACACAAATAATGTACTTTTAATATATTAAAAATGTATATTCCATTAAGAAAATATACATTATTTCAGTACTGAAACTATATTATTTTGTATAATGTACATTTAGTATACGAATAATGTACATTTAATAAATTAAAAATGTATTTTTTATTATGATCCACACAACAAGCATAGTCCATACAATAATTTGCCCCATGTTGCTTAGCCACCCAATTTACAGCATAATTAACCTCTAAGAATATATATTTGGTTGAATATGTCCAGTTATGTCTCATAATTACTCAAATACCTTCCAGGGTAAATGACAAGCATATATGAAAATATGAAATTTTACACACTAGCCCTCAATGTATTAGTTTAGTGGATGTGACTCAATACTTGTTTTCAGTGGTAAGGTAGTATTCAATTCCTTGAGTCTTTTCGCAAATATTGAAGTTTGAGTTTAAGTTGGCTCGCAAAAAATTCCTTGATTCTTTTCGCAAATATTGAAGTTTGAGTTTAAGTTGGCTCGCAAAAAAAAAGTGTATTAGATCAGTGGATTCATGAGATTTAGGATATAAGGGTATCTCTATCTATGGTTCTTGGTGTGTTTTTTGAGGAGTCCATGGTGAATTGGAGGAGAGCGAAGGATCAATGTTTTTGTCACTCTAGGGCCCCACCAAGAAAGAAAACAACGACAATTAGCTCGTGTGAGGCACAAATCTCCGGCCTAACTGGATGGGTAGATCTTTAATTTTTTTTTTCTTTTATCTCATTTTCTCTTTTCTAGTCGCACCTGCAAAAATTCTTCAAAAACTACAACTATTGGTGATGCTCTAAACCGACGAAATAAAAAAATCTAGATTATTACTAAAAAAAAAAAAAAAAATACTACTTGTAGAAGAAGGAACTACTACAAGGCAGCCAAAAATATAGGCATGCAAATAGAATGTGGTGGTAGTATGTATGGTACCAGCTGTAAGTTATATTTGAAGTGTTTCCCTAATCCTCTCAACACGTATCAACCCATCTCTCATTATCTGTCCTCCACCGCTATTCATGCATCATCCCTCTCATGCACGCCGCAGATATAAAACCACATTCCACTCCACAACATTTCCAGACATAAACATCGTACATCTTCAATTCTCTGTTGAATATTATTAGTGTGTAATAATTATAATGAGCCAGCAACAAGCCAGAAGGCCGGAGAGCGGTGACCAAGAGCCCATCAAGTATGGAGACGTGTTTGACGTCTCCGGCCAACTCGCAGCCAAACCTATAACCCAGCAAGACGCCGCCGCCATGCAGTCCGCCGAGAACACCGCGTTTGGCCAGACGATTAAGGGCGGCCCCGCCGCTGTCATGCAATCAGCAGCCGCGCGTAATGTCAGGAATGCCCGCGTTGACCCCGACAACGTCACCGACGTTGTCAGAGAACAGGGCGTTTCTGTTAAAGAAGATGATATTGCCGGCCGCCGTTTCGTCACTGAAGCCATCGGTGGAGATGTAATCTCTCTCTCTCTCTCTCTCTATATATATATATATATATATATATATATATATATATATATATATATATATATATATGACGAACTTCTCTCTCTCTCTATATATATATATATATGACGAACTTTTAATATTTTTAATGTGTGATTTAAGGTTGTGGGGAAATATATACGACCACCTGCGGAGGAGAAGACGCCGCCGCCGCCGCCACCCCCGGCGGCGGGTGTTGTGAGCGATGATATAACCATCGGAGAAGCCCTAGAGGCGACTGCAATTTCCGCCGGGGACAAGCCCGTCGGCAAAAGCGACGCCGCCGCAATACAGGCTGCGGAAGTCAGAGCTACCGGCTTAGGACATATTCTGCCGGGAGGAGTAGGAGCCGACGCCCAACGCGCCGCAGAAATCAACGCTAGAACTACAACAGATGAGTTCAAAACAAAGATCGGCGATGTCCTCACGGTATTATATATATATATATATATATATATATATATATTCTCACTATAAAGTTAGACTTTCCATATTTTTTCTTGTATATTTTATTGGTTGGATTTTAAGATTGAATTTATTCATGCACAATTTTATTTAAATTAGTTTACTAATTTGTGATTTTTTCCGTCTAAAGTTTTAAGACAGAGTTTATTCTATAAACAAATTTTAGAGTAGTGATGATTTATTGATTTTCTTGATTTGATTATGCTATTATCAATCTAGGTCGATTTAACAATGTTTTAATCGATTAATGTTGGCATGTTTAATTTGGAGTAGGATGCGAGTTCGAAGCTGACGGATGATAAGCCCGTGACGGTGGAAGATGCTGCCGGAGTTGTGAACGCCGAAGCAAGAAACAAAGAAGACCACGCCACACACCCGGCTGGTGTGGCGGCTTCCATGGCGGCGGCCGCCGCACTCAATCAAGAAACCGCCTTTAATATCACCGTGTAATGCTGCTAGTAACCTCCCTACGTACTACTATAACTACCGACATATGCATGCCTATATATGTACGTGTGTACCAGAAGTTTGTTTGTTTGTTTTTTTTTTTTTTTTTTTTTTTTTGTGTTAAAAGTTAAAACCTACGGAGTAGTAAATATCCGTCAAAGTCAATCTTCCAAACCTTATAAGCTTTGACTATGCAATATAAGCGTGTAATTAATATAAATATATATCGAAAATTTTCGGATTTTCAAGAAAAAAAATGGATTTTTAACCGTTTTAATTAGTTCATAATTTTAGGGTTTATTGAAAATGACGATTGGTGTTATTTTTTTTTCTCTAGATCCTTGAAATATGTTTCAAGGATACATGCCCACATGCATGCTAAGCACATTTATAAATTGAAGATTAGCAAGGATACATGCCCACACTCAAGTGATATACAAGAGGAATCTACTATCATTCATTATCCGATAAATAGACTCATACGAAATGGATTCAGCTGAATATCTAAGAAGCGGATTGAAATTACAATCTTTCTACAAATAAAAGATAAACTACCTACATTAAAAGATTATATTATGCTTATTTAAATAATTTTAATTTTTTGTTAGACCCTTTATATAAAGGGAAAAAAGGGTGGGAAAGTATGTAAGAAGGTTCTTAGTACACCTCAAATAATGACCGACTTAAAAGGAGAAATTAAAAGAAGGGTGATATGATGGGGGAATGATAGGCGGTGGGTGGTGGATTATCATATCGTGGCTATGATTGATCGATGCTGCCGATGTTTGGGTAAGCCAAGGTGGTTGCGACGTCGGATCAAAAACCTTACCTTTCGATCATCGCATGATGATCCGATCCGTTTCTTGTACCCAAAGCATCATTTATCGTCCCTTTCCCAACTAATCTATCTATATTCTCGTTGCCGACCTAAACTTCCTAGCTACTAAGATCAAGCTCACACTGCATGCGACGGTGACGCTGTCTCCTCCAATCATTCCATCGACAATGCCAATGCTAATTGTCGGAGACGCTTCTACTTTATGAGTTTTATCTTCTCCCAAAAGGTTGAACTTAATTTCCAACCCTAAGGGTCCCACACTCCCAGCCGAACAGAGTATTTGGGAAGACGTAAATCAAGTTGACTTAATGGTTCAGGAGATAAGGCCAAATGCCGGTAGGCACAAAGAATCTGCTCAATTTAGACATAATCCTTACTCTGACGCTGCTAAAGTTCGAACATTGGTCTCTTCTTCCAAATACTGCAAACAGAACCATTGAGCTAAACACGTGCAGACAGTTTATGAGTTTTCTCAATCGAGTACATATATAATTGATCATATTTAGTTAATTAACACGTTTAATAAGTTTATAGTATAATTTAATTGACTTAATAATTCAAATAATATATACATTTAAGAGGGGGTCACTTATGTTGAATCACCTCAAAACTCATTTAATCAAATATATTATGATTTCTCTCTCTATTATCCAATGTAGCACAACTCTAGCCTCTGATCTTATTTCCGACGAACATTTCAGTTTGAAATTTTTGATTCCCTAAGATAATGAAGTAGTGACGATGACTACTCACAGCAAAGCTGTGTTATCTTCACGTACAAAGAATCCAATCATTTCCATTTGGTTTGGTTGTTTTTGCAGTCGTTTCCTGCGACGATCAGATCGAATAACTCAGAACGAAGGACAAAAAAATTATAAATATAATATAATGTTGCAGCAGGGCATGATATAAGTGTGCAAACTATATATTATAAGATTAGTTTAATTGAATACTGTAGCAGAAGAGTAAGTTTAGTTTGAGTTGATAAAATGCAAATTGCAAAGAGAGAGAGAGAGAGACGTGACATACTGAAATATGATGCTGGAAAACCTGCATGGTCAGCATCATGTGCACTACCTTATTAGCTTGCTTACTACCTAAACAATCAATTAATATAAAGCACAACATCATATGAATCTGCTCCGCTTCCCTACTTGTGTTTGCTAATTTATTTATTTTTTGAATAAAGATCAAGCTATGTGGGTGTTGAATTAATCTTACAGCAGTAAAGATACATAATAATTACGGCCTAAACTTTAAACTAAAGCTACTCCAATCTCGAGATTTCAATAACTATTATTATTATAAAGTAGGTTTTAGATCCCTCCTGGCCGCGTTTACTAGTAGTAGTTTAATCAATAATTGTCAGCACATGTTTAGCTTAATGGTTCAGTAGACAGTATTTAAGATAAGAGATCAAAGTTTGAATTTCGACGGTAGTGGTGTGAAATAATACCTAAAGTGAGCAGATCCTTTATGCGCATTTGGTAATGTCCAAACGCTTTATTGGAACTAGAGTGTGGGGCTCTTGAGGTTGGAGATTCAACTTTTGAAAGAAATCTATATATATATAAAAATAAAATCATCCTTCTAACATTTTCCCGCTCAAACTCATTATATTAATTATGGTAATAGAATTAATCATTAATCATTGAATAATATGGCAAAAACCGAAATATTGCATAAGCTACCATAATATAGAATAATTAATTAGAATAATATTATTATGGTAATACACAAAATTATGGTCATTATATATTTAATCCAATTACTCCAATAACAGGTAGTTAGCATATATATGGGTATTACCGTGTATATATAAAATATATAGGTAGAAAAGTTGTTAGGATGGTATATTAAGCAGGGTAATAGGTGTAGTATTTATTAGAAGTTATTTTAGTAAAAATAATTTATTTTATTAATTAACCATATATATTTTCGTAAAATTAGCAATCAATTATTATTACATATTATATATTCCATAATTCTCTTCTCCCACCTCCACTCTATCCTATGCGCAAAGCTCAAGCGCTTACGTCTGTTGTACATCAACCACTAGCGGACGACGTAAATTTCTAATTCTATTATCATTTTGTGTATGTCTTATGAGACGTCGTTCCTTCTGGGCCATAGTTTTTCTGGCTTTATTTCATCTTGCTTTTAACATTGCAGCAGATGACGAGTTGTAAGGAGAGAAACAAAGGTTGATATGTGATTTTCACGGGTGAGTTTTTCATTATCTTAGTTTTTTTTTTCTTTGTGGGTTTTGTGTGTTTTTTCCCTTAGATTTCTTCTACTATCATTTCGTGTATATCTTGTGCGACGTCGTTCTTTCTGCGCCATAGTTTTTATGCATTTAATTCATCTTGCTTTTAGCGTTGCAGCAGATGACAGAGTTGTATGGGGAGAGACAAAGGTTGATACGCAATTTGCATGGGTGGGGTTTTTATTATTTTAATCTTTTATTTTTCGTTTTGGGTTTTGTGTGTTTTTTTGTGCATTTTCTGATTTTTAAACAATCAATTGCACTATATAATATTTGATGTTCTAATTTAAATAATTATATATCGATCCAAATATTCTTAATATATTATAACAAATCCATTCCGTGCATCGCACGGGCGCAAATACTAGTTTAATCAATAATTAAATATATCTAATCTAGCACAATAAATGCTTTTTTTTTTCTTACATACAAGGATTATAAATAAATATAAATTAAGTCACGTCATTTATAATAGAGTAAATTTCACTTTTGGCCCTATAACTATTGAGGTATTGTTAATTTCAATCCACGACTTTCAAAACTAACAATTAAGTACCCTAACTATTCAATTTTTATCAATTTTGGTCCATCCGGCCAAATTACCGACGAAAAGTGACCGGAAAATTTTAATGATAAAATAATGAGGGCATTTTGGTCTTTTACTTCTATTTTGTACGACGCCCTACCCTCAAACATGGCCGGAAAACCTCCATTCTCGTTGACTCACGTTTGAAAATTTTGAATGTATATTACTTGCGTAAATCATGCGACTATACTATACCAATTACACGTTCTTATTCAAACTATAATTGATTAAGAATTCCATATTTTGGAGTTTATTTCTTTATTTATTTAAATTTGAACTTTCCAGGAAGAACTTCATTCACCAATCATCACAAGCATTTAATTAATTTAATTAAATCAATTAGGTTTGTCTGCACATACTTTCTTCGTCGTCTACTATGAGAATGGAGGTTTTCCGGCCACGTTTGAATAAGAAAGTATGTACAGAGGACGAAAAAGTATGTACAGAGGACATTTTCGTCGACTCACGTTTGAAAATTTTGAGTCCCAAATCCGAACCAGATTCCTTTTATCTGTTGTTTTTCTTTGCTTTGTTCCCCAGGCCACCGCTCTGAGGATTTCCAGACCTACATTGTTCAGCTCTACCCGAACGGAATTTCAAGATCGCCGCCGGAGTGAGCTGATGATGAAGAAATTAACATGAAATGACTATATTGCCCCCAACATTAAACAAATTAAAATGATTTAACAGATTCCGGCAACAATTGACCGGTAATTTGGCCGGACGGACTAAAATTGATAAAAGTTGAATAGTTAAAGTACTAAATTGTTAGTTTTGAAAGTCATGAATTAAAATTAACAAGACCCCAATAGTCATATGACCAAAAGTGAAATTTACTCTTTATAATACAAAATGTGTCTATGCAAAATGCCTTGTCTCTGAGTGGGGCATAAAAAATAAGAGTCATAAAGTGTGGCGATCATGATTTGTCACCGTTCAATCAACGTTGAAATTTGTCGTTCCATAAATATATTAAATTGAACAAACTTGTGGTTATATCATTAATAACTCTCACAATGGTTAAATGACACTTTTTACCCCTGGATTATATACTTATAGCATTTTCCCCCCCTTAATTATTTAGGTAAGCACATTAGCCCCGTCAATTATTTTAAAAGTGGTGTTTTTCCCCCCCTGATATATTAAATTGACATTTATACCCTTAAAGTAAACATTTTATTTATTTTACTACTCCAACAAATTATTGCGTATACGTAGGGATGACCACGGTTCGGTTTGAATTGAACCGGATACTAAAGCAATCGAATTAATAGTTTACGGTTATAATTCAGATCTAGAACCCAATATTTAAATGTCAATTTATTAAAATTATGTATCAAAAAAATTGAATCTTGAACCGTGAACCGGCGGTTCCGGATCTTATTCGCGATTTTGAACCGTCTTTATTTTAAAATTTTATTTTTTATTTTAAAATAGTCTAAATTCAACAATAAATGTATTTTATTTTTTCAGTTCGGAACATGAACCGTCCGTTCCGGTTCACGATTTTAATAAACTCTAAATATCGAATTTCGATTCTAAATTGTAATTGGAATATTTCGGTTTGGTTGCTATAGTGTTTGTTTAGTTTGAACCAAATTATGGTCATAATTTGTTGGAGAAAAAAAAAATTAAATATTTAGTTTAAGGGTAAATATGTCCATTTAACATTTCAGGGGGAAAAACAGCCACTTCAATAATTTAGGGAGAAGAAATGCTATAGGTATATAACTCAGGGGGAAAAAGTGTCATTTTCCCTAATTTTATTGAACAAAAAAATGGAAATAAAATAAAATGAAAAAATTACACTCTTCGTCACTAAGTTATAGGGAAACTGTTGAATTCGTCCATAAATATTGGTTATGTTCACTTTTTATCTTTAAGTCATCATTGACATTACCCTTTTCGTTCATGAATTGTACTAAAATTACAAATTTCATCTCACCAACAACAGATAGACTGCAGGTTCGAGCTCGATTGACCGAGTCGCTCAGCTATTATATATGACTCGCCACCAGCTCGACGAGTTACGAATCTAAAACATTTGAGCTCGAGCTCGAAATTGATTGAGCGGTTCGCGAACTGCTCGGCTCATTTACACTCATAATCTAGAATATAGTCTAATAAAGATGGAAATTTAATATATCAAAAAAATAATATTGCATCTATCATTCTAAGTTGTACTTGTCAGAGTTGACCGCTGTCAATGGGTGTCACGATCCACCTCTTTCAACGGTGTAGATCAAGTTGTGGAAGGAAATGTTTATTTATGGTAAGGGAGTTCAGTCACCCAATCTACCTGTTAGGTTATAGGCCATTAAGCATTGGATAACGCAATCTTTGTGTGGTCTTTAGCCATTGTTATTGGCTCGAAGTTGGCTGCTTCTAAGTTATAACCAACAATTTTAATAAAATTAAATTGGTGATAAGAATCTAATTCCACATTAATAGCTTAAATTAGACCGAGTCTAAGAATTGTTATGGTTATTAAGTGTGATATATGCGGTAAAGTGAGTACAAGGTATCTTCTTAAACGTGATCAATAAACTTATTTATACTATACATGAAGTTAACTTCTACCATACTTTCACGCATTTGTTATTAATTGGCCCATCAAGTCGATCGGTCAGTCAGAGTCTAATATCAAATTGTACTTTTTTTTTTTCTTTTTTTGTCACACACCACCATTTGGTCATAAATAAAACTTAAAAGAAAAATCTAGCTAACAATAATAAGCAAAAACAATTTAATGTACTGAACCACAGTTGATGTAGTTATATAGCATGGTTCACGACAAATTAACGGACTTATTAATAATGTGTATATATATACATTGGTTGGCCTTTCTAAACTGTTGTCTCATTAGTAAACTACTAAACTCTGAGTTCTAAAAGTCTCAAACCTCCAAACACTCCCTAGCCTATCAACCGCCGGATTTCAACTGTCGTCTGTATTTTCCGGTGGTCGGAAATTGAAGAGAATATACAATGCCCAACCTTAATCATTGTTTCTCGAAGTCAAAGGTTGAATCATCTGCGCCGTCCAAGTCTACGTTAAAAGAAACTCGAGATCATCACAGCCGTCCGTTTCTCAATACCACCTTCATCAAGAACTTCAACTCCCTCTACGATTTCACCTTGGAATGCACGCCGAATTCAAAATCCTTCGCCGCCGCCGCCGACGAGGAAGAAGCTGACTTGTCTTCGTCGGAATCCGCCGCCGCCGACGAGGCCGCCGCCACTCCCGACCTGGCCACCGTCCTGGCATCCCGGCGGTTCTTCTTCTCCTCTCCCGGCCGGTCAAACTCCATCATCGACTCCTCCTCCACCTCCTCCTCCATAGCCTCGACCTCATCCTCCTCCCCGACGGCGAACCAGCAGGACCCGGACGCCCTCGTCGACGGCAGCGTCGCCATTCCGACGATCTCCCCGGACCCGTTCTTGGATTTCCGGCGGTCGATGCAGGAAATGGTGGAGGCGCGCCAACTGATGGATGTGAGAGCCAACTGGGACCACCTCCACGAGCTCCTCATGTGCTACCTAACTCTCAACCCCAAAAGCGCCCACAAGTTCATCGTGGGGGCCTTCGCCGACCTTCTTGTCAGCCTCATGCCCCCTCCCTCGCCGCCGCCGCCGCCGTCCGACGATCACCGGAAACCGGAATCCTCATCCCGCGGTAACAAAAGTAAGATTTCCCGAAATTTCATGTAATTACAAACATTTGTATCATCAAATGACTCAATTTCTTATTGTAATCTACCTCCATTCATCAGTTCCCCATTAATCACTTCTTGTACACAACAAAAACATTAATAACCCCAAAACTTCAACACACTGTATAAAGTCGTATGCTTTTTAACTTCTTACTTATCGAGATAAACCAGTTTATGTTACTGTCTCAAATTAAGAAAACCGTACGTATTAATTGATTCAAATCAAGAAAATCAAAAAACTTTATCCATGAATTCACATTCTCAACACACAGTATATGAGATTATATGTTAATGCTTTTAGATACCAAACCAACCGCCAAGATTGAACGGCGGGTCAGGTCAATCTTGAGGAGATCAGAAAAAGTTTTTGCGCTTTTTCCCAGTATTGACAGACGCCAGAAAAGCCATTTGCTTTTTGTTGGGCATTGCGAAATGTGTAGATAAAGCTGAAGCTATGCTATGTTCAGTGTTCTTCATCAACCCCACCATTAACCCTATGGTTTTGTTTTTTACTCGCTTCAATTCGTAGTAATCAAGATTCACAGCATAGAAGTGATTAAGGTTGTAGGGTAATACAATGTTTGTCTTTTATAATTATTGTATTTGTGTCGGACAATTATTAATGGTGTGGGTATGAAGAACACATTAGCTAGCTAGGATATCGACCAGACAAGTGCACGTTGGCCATTTGATTGTTGCCGAGTGTGTAGCAGCAGCCAGCAGGTTTCATGTGATCACAATCCCAGTACTGTTTTGCATTAAAGATCGCATTTTTACGGTTTAACTTCACTGCCCAGATCGAGTTTCTTTGCTCCCTACTTACCTAGCCCCTGTATCTAAGATGGATGTGATATCCACAATGAGCCACCCCACAAAAAAAAGTAAAATTAGGGCTCGGTAGTGCATCATTGTTTATAATCTGTCACTTAAGAACTAACTGAGTTACCTGTAAAAGCCAAATCGAGTTTCTTTGAGATTGGTGTGGGCCCAGGCATATGATGATGATGACCATCAAGCTAACTTCCAAACTGGTGTTTCAGAAAAGGGTTATCTGGATTTGGTGTTGTCCAATCACCAAGAAGGTAAAACCGGGGAGGTGTTAAGGCTGGACCCATGCCGAAGGTCATGGGTTCGAACGGGACTATATTGTTAAACCTTTTGGTCACGAAGAGAAAATAAAGATCTTGGAATCATGTAGCTGCCGGGTTACATTTGTGCAGGTGTTTCATCGATGACACCATGTTCGTAGAAAGGACAGGTTTTTTAACGTTTTTAATCTCTGGGTACTGGATTTTTGTACAGTCCTGTGCTGTAATTTCTCTGTGCGTGACTGGGTTCGGTGATTATGCAGAATCTTTACAAGTTTTTGCATCAGAGTGAATAAGCCAACTTTCATCATATGATGAATAAACAAGTAGGAAGTGTTGTCCCGCAGGGTAGCTCGGTTAATGAGTCATTGAGAGATCTTGATCGATCAGATCAGAGGAGATGAAAACTTTTTATGGACAAAGTGTATAAATAGATATGGAAAAAAAAAAATTTTTTTTGGTATATTCAAGGTTTTCACTCTCGGACTAACTAATTCTTTTGTTGAATTGTAGCCACCTTTTGTAGATAGAACAGTTGGCTTACAGATTTAAGGTTACTTGATACTCAAAGCCAATGTTCAAATCTTTAACTTTTGGTTAATGATGGATTTTGGGCAGAATTCTAATGTAAGTTAAGATGGGTAATGTATTAAAAATAAAAAATAAACAAGTGGGAGTTCCAAGACAAAAATCAATCGAATCTTGATTTTGTGCTTTCCCTTTTGTTTTTGGGTGTATGTATAGCTGCCATTGCCCCATATAATATGAGTTTTACTCGAGACCAGAGACCAATTATAATCTCAACATAATGCACCAGTGGGAATATACATCACAAGATCCAGAAAGTTTTTATAATAGCATATAGTCTAGCTTCATATTTTAATAATAAAATTAGTAAAGAATTAAGTTGAATAAACAATAACAAACTTTTTCAATAGAAGAATAGACAAACTATAGGAAAGTGCAAATGCAATCCGCCATTAAGAGTAGGTCACGCCAATGTAATCTGTCGTCAAGAGTGGACGATTGGAGAAGTCTCTAAAATATAGACAACATTTTAAACATGAGGTGTTGGTCTTTCTATGAATATGACAGATCTCATTTACGTTAATGATTTTGACCTACTAACTAATTTTAGATTACGGGACATTATATGACATTATAGAAAAGAAGCTTTTATAAAGACTATGATTGTGCTTTTGAAGTAACAATGTATCTTCCTAATTATAGATTTGTGTTGAAAGAGAGACAGGAAATGCCACGGAGATGACTTGGTTACTAGAAGCAAGTTGGTGATATGATTAGTTGAGGACAAAGAAGAGCAAATTGATAGTTTTTATGATTGATTACATGCTCTTAATAGATTAAGGGCTAATTAGATAATTAGATAATGGTGGACTAATAATCAAACTGCCAAAAGAGCAAGTCTACAACTAGTCTAATGTGGTCTTCCACTTCCTTGCCAACTGGTCTCAAGATTACATCATTCTACTTCGTACAGCCTTTCACTGAGAATCTCTTTGTACTAATCTTTTTGTATGGTTTTCCAGGAAAACTATACCACATGATTTTTAAATATATGGCCAAATTAACTCAACTTTTGTTATTTTCAAGATTTTCCAACTTTTGTCAAACTATATCGTAAAACCCATTAACCCTTCTCAAGACTCATAAAAATGTAAATCTCGAGTTGTCCACTTCTGCACACAAATTCTTTTCAATGACGAATGGTTTGTGTTGTGAAACTAAATGGGACAAACTAAACCATGAATCATAATCCACATTACAAAATAATCACAAATACAAGTTCATTACACAAAATGAACTGTAACACAAGAACAAAAACTTACAATATAATTATAGAATAAACATGTTAATCAATTTCTTTTTTCTTTTGAAAACAATAAACATATATATATCAGTAGTTAAGATTGTATGCCCAATATAACAATTGATCAGTTGAGATTTGAGAAGTGGGCATCCGAAAAGAAATGGTTGGGCAGTGTCTAGGCCCACTTATAACCAGTTTTTCTAAAAAATGTTTGGCAGGTGTGGGCAGAGCCCACAGGCCCAAGGCAGGGTGGCCTACCTTAAACCCGTATTTTGGCAGGCTTTTTAACCCACCCGCCAAAAGGGCAGGCTTTGGCGAGCCGCACCCAACCAGTCCATTTCGACAACTCTACTCAAACACAACCATAACTTTCAAGATTGAAAGCCTCTAACACAGGTAAATGCTTTAAACACAGTCAAAATTAACTTACAACATGTCCATAAATGAAATATTCTTAAACAAAATCAAGAGCTCTCACTCTCTAAATGGAGTTCCAAAATAAGAAAGTAACAAAACATGCATGCTTCAGGGAGTATTTTCTTTGTTTGTTGGGTTACAGAAATAGTGACACCTTCAACACTATAAATCTACTTCTTCTTTCCACCCTTAGCAGCATCTCCAGCTTTTGTCTGCAAAAACATATAGGCATTTTATTAGCTCCCAACATAATAATGGCACATGACAATGACAAGCTTCTTATAACACTTAGATGATGGATATTTCCACCAAGAATTGAGCTGCTTACCTTCTTAACACCACGAATCTTTTTAGTTCTGTTTTTGCGTTCTTTCATTTGTTTCCTAGACTTCTCCACCTTAGTATCCAACCCATTCTACAAAGAGCAAAGGTTATAAGCTTGGTGGCTAGCAGTTATACTCGATAATAGATCAGTACACAAAGTTAACATTATAGGAAAAGCAACCATACAAAAATGAGTACACAAGTCTTTAAGTGAACTTAGTGTGCCTAAGCAGGTCACAATTTTAATGCAAACAAATAAACTTTGCTATGACCATCTGAACATGAAAAATCAGGTACAACGCAACAAATAATACTATTATATAAATATAAATAAATGGAGCTGTAGAGGTATTGGCTTGTATATATGATCTTATTAATCCAAAAGAGAGATATAATGCATATAATGCAAAGAACTTACCCTAATGAGTCTATATTTGGGTTCAAATTTCTTTGCATTTTCAACTGAATCGTAGATCAAGCCGAACCCAGTAGATTTTCCTCCTCCAAAATGAGTGCGGAACTTAAACACGAAAATGGAGTTGGGATCTCTCACATCATACATCCTTGCCAATTTCTCCTTCAACTCAGCCTTCAATTACATGATTGATTCATAAGAACGAATAACACAAATTTCCAACAATCAAAACCAATCAAGAGAACCTTAGGTTATAATTAATGAAATTAGGATACCAACAAACCAGTTAAAACGATTCCGCAAAATTGAACATTTTAGTAACTTTGCACACACGGTAAAACACATGTACACAATTTAGCTCCTAAACTGCTTAGTTTTGTTTTACCATTTAAGCTAAGGAAAAAAAAAAAAAAAAACTAACCTTTGAAACATTGGCCCTTCCTGGGTGAAGAACATCAATGACCTAAAAAATGAAACAACCATTCATAAAGAGCAAAAACAGAGAATCACGAATTCGCAAAGAGAGTTGTTATGCAAAGAACGTGTCTCCGTTGATAGAGAACTTACAAATTGCTTCCTTGCGAGAAGGCGATTGGTCATAAACTTCCTTGTCCTGATGGTAACAGCCTTGTCCGCCATTTCCTGCGTAGAAAATCTGTTTAGATTCAAGCCTTTTATACGTAGATATACAAACACACACACAGTGAATATATAAACAAAGAAGCAAACGATACTTCGTCTCTGCCGTCGTCCCTCTTCTTCTGCTTCTCACTCTGTCGTCTCCTTCGCGAGGCTGAGCTCTCAAATTTGGCAGGACGAACTGGAACACGTTTGAGTCTAGGGTTTTGAGTATATGAATTAATGGGCGTGATTTATGGGCCGCTTACAACAATTTTGTGCTCAATATAGCCCATCAAATTGGCCCACTTACTTTTATATATCCACTCTATATCAATTTTTTAGAGTTACTTTTATTTTTATTGTTTTGTTATTCACTTATAGTAATAATTAAATATTTAGTTCATAGTTTTTAGTCTTTACCACATTTTTTTACTTTTAAATAATTAAACATTAAACATTTCTTTATAACACTACAAATAAAGATATATTATAATAATAATAATAATAAAGCCTACATAAATTGCGACAAATCACTCTAATAGTATCAATTGCCAAAAGAGGGATATATAGTACTTAGAAGAACGGTCCAAAACACGATGAGCAATAAGGTGATTTATTCAACATTTTTGTTAGTGATGAGGAAAATCATCACTACTATTGAATATTGAGGGAGTACACCGTATAAACCTGACTCTTATATAATAGCTCACAGGTCTTAAAATCCCGTGATGACCTTTTGAAAGTTATTACACCTACTCCACTAGCCCTTTCGGTGCTTAAAATATCTGAAATACTCACACATGTTTAGAGCTTTGCAAAACATAAATATTTCGTATAGTAAACCTTAAACATGATTTAAGTTACTATACGAGTTTCACCCAGAGTCCACATTCATATGCAGTTTTCTTATAAATCAAAATAAGATACTATACATGACCCGAAACACACAAAAATAAGAAATAGAAAGAGGCATAATATAGTGATATTTTTTTTTTATATGTTGGCATTTGCAGAATCCACGAGCATAGACCACAATGCATGCACATCTTCACAAGAGCACGACATTACATCTTCGTACAGCATGTGGATTCCTCTGCCTGCAAAACCACAGATACTAAAACCATGAATATATATGTGCATTAATGAAGCGAAGCTTCTCAATAATATAATGTGAACCAATACGAGGAAGAAGAAAGAAGGGTGTACGTACGTCTTGGGCGAGATGAATGGAGTCTGCGCCAGAATCTCTTGAAAGGAGAGATGATGGATTTAAGCCACCCCATTATCAGACATTGCCGGTGCTAGTATAGCTCTTGCTGTTTCTTCTTCTGTGGTTTTTCCATGTTTGGTAATCTAAAGCTTCGTTAGTTGAATATATCAATCCTTTCTGCTACAACAACTGCTTAATATATATTAATTCTTAAATATAATCATTAATAACATCTTCTTCTTCTTCTTCTTCGCTTGGTGCCCTGTCAATTCTGATCTATACTCAGAAGAAATTGACTACTTTCATGCAAGCTAGCTTCCTTAATTCTTTCTTGCATGTTTAATTTACTTGTTTTGTGGGTAAAGGTTTTTCTTCAACCTGGTGGATAATTCATCTGGCTTGTTGCTTACAGAACTCCATTCTTTATTGTAGTATGGTGAATAATTCTGTAGATTTTTTTAGTAGGTTTAAATGCTTACGGGCTGTCGGCTACCGGTCAGATGGATATTCTTTTTTTGGATGACAGAAAAAAACTGTAGTTACTATCTAAAGATGTGTTGGGTAGATCTACTTTTGTTACTTTAGCCGACAAAAGTAAACTAAATTGTTTATAATGACTGATTCAAATGGGAAAGCTAATAGACTGCTTTGTATGTACCTTATAGTTATCTAGTGAGATGTTGAGCTAATTTCCTTTATTACAATTTGATTTAATCTTTTTATGAGTATTAGGTAGTAAAAGATAATAATGAGATAAATTAGTATAAATTATCTAAACTATCTCAAATTAAAAAGATAAGTAGGGGAGTATAACTTATAAGCTTGTTACAAAATATACATTCTTCCCAATGTTACAAATTATACATAACTGTACCGCTCGTCCAAGAAATGGGTCATATCGTTTATAAGATCTTTTAACGGTAGCAGTTAATGCAAGAAATAGAAATGGCGTCTGCCATTAGAGCACTGATCTTCTTCGTCTTGATTTCGCAACTTTTGTTTAGCTCTTCCGGTACGGTGGCGGCGTTGATCACATCTCCGCCGTCTTCGCTCCTTGCTGACGTCTTTTCCGAGCTCGGGTTCCGAGAACTCGCCGCCGTCACCGCCGCAGCCAATATCTCCATCGCCGCCGCAGTTACCGTCTTCGCTCCGGCGGATTCCGCGTTTCTCACCTGTCCTTCCTGCTCCCTTCCGTTGCTTCTCCAAGAACACTCTTTGCCGGGCCTCTACTCGATCCACTACTTGCGCACTTTCGCATTCGGGACGAAAATCGAGACCTTGGCCCCCGACCGCTGCCTCACCGTCACGTCTTCCGCCGCCGCCGCCGCGGCCAAGAAGGTGTTCGTGAACGGCGCGGAAGTCACCAAGGCGGACCTCTTCAACAACGGCCGCGTCATAATCCACGGCCTGCAGGGGTTCGTCTCTCACCTGTCGCATCTTTCGTGCCAGCTTGACCGCCAGACGACGCTCGTCGTCTCGCCGGAGCCGTCGCCGGCCGCCGCCATCTTCGCGGCGCACCGGCTGCTGAAACAGGCCATGATGCAGCTCCGCGCCAGTGGGTATAGTATTGTGGCTCTCGCCATGCGCGTCAAGTACCCGGAGCTCTCCGAGCTCACGACGATGACCGTTTTCGCCCTCGACGACGCCTCCATCTTCGCCTCCGGCGAAGGCCACGCCTACGTGGCGGACCTGGGATTCCACATCGTGCCCAACAGGCTCCTGACGGCCTCCGAGTTGATCGCTCTGCCTCCGGGGACCGTACTTCCGACCATGGAACGTGGGCGGAACCTGGTGGTTACCACCGCCGGCGGCGGCGGCGCTTTTACGCCGTTGAGGATCAACTTTGTGAAGATCAAGAATCTTGACGTGGTGACTAACGGAAGGATTGTGGTTCATGGACCGTCAGCGCCCTTTCTCGGAATGGTCCGCATCAAACGGATGGAGGGTCAATAGCACGTACACGTGTCCGGTCGTGATTTAATTTTGGACTGAATTGAATTTGTGTTCAATCTTTTCCATCAACCCTGTAAATTTGATGTACCTATATTTCACTTTTGATTCTTGCTATGTAAACACTTCCCTTATAGCATCAAGAAGATAGGGTTAAATGGTAAAGATAACATGAAATTGAGATTATCTATTCACTTTATTGAGATTGGGCTAACATGAAACTATTGTATATGCGCTAAAGCATTTATGACAAATACAAGTAACATTAAAAATTATCAAAATAATGTACTTTGATTTTATGAGAATGTGTTATTTTAAAAAGATTATCAAGATAGCGTGCTTTAATTTTATGAGAATGTGTCATTTTTTCTTCTCCCAAATATATTCTTTTTTGTTACTTTTCTGAAGATTTTATACAATATTCAAATTTTAATACAAATCATTGCAAATCATCAATTACAAGAATTATAAACTAACTAATTACAAAAGTTATGTTGTTTGTTTTTTTTTTTTTGGTGGAGAAAAATGGGTGAAACGGGAAAAACAAACAAATTACCAAACTCTAATCGAGCACGCCCCAAAGGCGTCTGCAGTAATGAACTCTTCCAAGCTGATAGGCGGATCTGCAAGCACCGATGTCCCCCAGTCCCCAATTTGACCAAGATTAGCCAGGTGGTCCGCGCACTTGTTCCCCTCCCTTAAACGTATGTTGGAAGATGATTTCCTCGAACCAGCGAATGAGAAATTTGCAATCTTTAATTACAAATGTTATGTTAAATACATGCAACATTGCTAAGGTTTAAATCATTTATTTGAAGACATCTGCTGAAAAAGGCACATCATACAATGTTTTGGTATTCTCGATATTTTGACGTCGTCACTTAGTTGCATATAAGGAAAGAGATTGTGCAACTTAGACAATAACAAGGAGACAATTAAGGACGAAGTACTTACACATGGGGCAAGGCGATGGAAAAATGACTTGCCATTTAGTTAACATTAACTAAGCACTTGCTTGAGTTGCTTTATAGTTGAATTGAAGGTGGAGAAATAAGATGTACCACTAACCGTTAATAAGGAAAACTGGCTAAACACAGTCATCTGATTGAAGAGATAAAGGACAAGGACTAAGTAACTGTATTGAGAAAGGGAAGATAACTTATCACTCAATCAATAATAAAGAAAAACATGATATTTGCCATTTGATCGATGATGAACATATGTATTATTGATTTTGTTCAATAGCATATGTTATTGATGTATAAGTTCAAATAACCCTTGATGACTAAAGCTTTGGCCTGCAAAAAAACCCTATCATGGTTGAAAGACCATGGACTATCATGAGTGAGACTGGAATCTGAAGGTATGGAGGTGGTTCTAGCCCTCACAATAAAATTTCAAAGCCGTTATTATCTTGATCATATTTTCTATCTATGTTCTTTCACGTTGTCACATTTTAACTTAGTTTATTATTGTCATGTTAAGTGTTAAGTAAACCAAATCGCTCATGCTTTGACTATAACAACTCATTCTCAATCTTAAAAAAATATCGCATAAATTTCGTTACTAATTTATTTCTCTAAATTTTAATTTCTTTCTCTAAATTTTCAATAATATGATATATTTTGTTGTAAACAAAATACAACATTGTAAATTTATCAATGTTTTTTTTTTTTTTTTTTTTTATCAATCTTCAAGTGAAGGAATTTTTTTTGTCTTTAGGTCCCCTTTATTTCATAAAAAGGGTGTAATACGGAGTAGTACTACTCCGTACATAGTTATGATACCTAAATATGCTAAAGAAATACCCGAATAGGTTTTTGTTTTTGGGATGCATGTCGGGTCGATGTGTAAAAAACGGGTAAAAGAGCCAAATCCCAACTCCCATCTTCAGAGCTGATAACCGCAGGGGCTTGTAGTCTGCGAGTGTGTTGAATACGAGGAGAAGGAAGATGACGACGATTCGAAGGTTTTGCTGCAACGATCTTCTCCGATTTGCTTCCGTCAATCTGGATCACCTCACTGAAACTGTAAATCTCCCCTTAAAAAGCTGTTCTATTGTCTTTTCACATGTGTTTATAGGTTTCCTGCAAATTTAATGATTTATATGCTCACGTTTAAATCTAAATAAGAATGCAACTGAATTTGAAGAGCTTAATGATTGACGAATGCAGTTCAACATGTCTTTCTACATGACCTACTTGGCTAGGTGGCCCGACTATTTCCATGTGGCTGAAGCTCCAGGCAATCGAATCATGGGCTACAGTGAGTTCCTTGCTCCATATATGTTCCATCTCTGAGGTTTTCCACAGGTTAATGTTAAAGATTTGAGATGATTGGATTTGCTTAAGCGCTGGAAACATCCAAGGCTGTTATTCTATTTTATTAAATTTGTTGATAGTTGTAAGCATCCAAGTTATTTTGAATTATTACTTTCATATATCAAAAAATGGATGGCAGGTGTGGGAAACATATAATAAATTTGTTGCAATGTTTTAATACACTATAGATTGATGATGTCATGATGTGCATGAACTGGCTGGCCATAAATCTTAATTTGTATGCATAATTGATAAGCGAAGTTGAAGCACGCGTGTATAGTTGGCTAGCTGAGTAAGATGTTGGTAGTAAGATATTACCAACAAAAAGGTGCATGGGTGTGGGATAGAGCTCAAAATAAAACTTTCAAATGCCCCATTTAATGAAATTTGGTTAGCATATTAAGATGGATTGCATCCATACTTCACAGAACTGAAGAGTGTTGTTTATACTAATGTTGTATTTCGAATTAAGATGAGCTCATTGTGTAACATGACTAATTGAGGAAGCCAGATGCATGTATTTTTCTTTTAACACATAACTGACTCACGGTGAATACCTAAAAATGTTTTGCATAGTTTAATATACAGAGTAACATTTAGCTTCAGGAAGCTTCACTGTTAACCATCTGTAATTGCCTTCTCCTCAATTTTGACTTGCCACAATTTCTATACTCTTCATGTCATAAATGCATTATGTTCCCATGGCCTTATGAATTCCAGAAAGGTTGATAAAAAAAATGATATGCTCCATTCCCCCCCACCCCATACACACAAGTGGGGGGGGGGGGGGGGACTCTTTCCTGAGACATGGTGAAATTCATTTTAAATGTTTGCCATTAGGTTGTTTCTAGTTTGGTAGCTCATAATGTGATTCACATTGGGTTTGCTTTAGTTGGATAAAGCTTATTTAATTAGAGTAGTGAGATTGTTAACTAATTATTATAGTTTTTACATGTTTGGCAATGAATATTGTATAAGTTCGATATGTTTTACAGAATTTATTAGTTATTTAAACCAACAATCCACAATTACCTTGGAGTCTGATTATGGTTGTTGATAATTTGTAATCATAATCTACAATCATATACTTTGACACGCCAACCAATTAAGTAGTTATAGAATATACCAAACAGTGGTGCCTATTTTGTTCCTCTTTCCTTTTGCCACTAATCCCGTATTTGTCCCTGTGCTTTCTTACACTTAATCCGGTTAATGATTATGGTAAAATATGGAATTAAGTTCTTGTATATTTGCAGTTATGGGAAAAGTTGAAGGGCAAGGAGAATCTTGGCATGGCCATGTCACTGCTGTCACTGTAGCTACTGAATATAGGAGGCAGCAGTTGGCTAAGAAATTGATGAATCTACTGGAAGACATCAGTGATAAGATGTATGTCGATATAGTATTTTCTTTTCTTTAACTAGACTACTTGCTCATTGAGTTTAACAGTAATATAACTTTGTAATGAAAATGGGAAAAAAAAAGGATGACAAGACATGAAAATTGCTTGTGCTGAATGTATTCTACTTGAAAATCTTAATCTGGTTTGCCTATCATGCATTACACCACCTTTGCTTCTTTTCCAAACATTCTCCTTTCTTTAATGTATTGAGTAGTACCCAAGGTGTTTCTTTCATTTTCAGTTTTTCACAATTTGATTTCTAACTCTTCATCTAATCGTATTTTTGTTTGCATTAATTACATCCATTCCTCACTCGTTTTTATCTGGCCCAAAGATGAGGAGTAGTTTTAACTTTTACGGTAGCTTTTCTTGGATAAAGATGGTGATGCTTAGTTACTTCTTTGAGCCAGGGTCCTAATATGAACTTTTCCTATTGTAGTGATAAGGCTTACTTTGTTGACCTCTTTGTAAGAGCATCAAATACGCCAGCCATAAAGATGTATGAGAAGGTAATGATTTATAGTACTGTCATGTGAGATGTGAATTTTAGTACATTGATATGTTCTTCATTATTCATATGAAGTCAGTCTAACACTAGCTGCATTTTATTTTTACAGCTCGGTTACATAATATATAGGCGAGTGCTACGTTACTATTCTGGGGAAGAAGATGGGTTAGGTGAGTTAATATATCCAATCATGAGAAAGTTGCTATTCTGTTTCATGATGCTATTTTTTATCTCACTTTTTTTTCCTATTCCATTTTAGACATGAGGAAAGCTTTATCCCGAGATGTAGAGAAGAAATCTGTTATTCCCCTCAAGCGGCCTATTACACCTGATGAATTGGAATATGACTAAGTTTAGTTCTTTTTGAAATGTCACCAAAAGGTTTGTATTGCAAAGTGTGGTGCTCTGCATTTGATCATTGGAGATGCAGAGACTATAAACCATCACTTGCTGTTATTCAGGATTCAGGTATTCAGTATGAAACATGTAGAGTCAGGATTATGGGCCCTTGCTGTGGGGCGTTGGACAAATACGATGGTCTTATAGTGCTTTTTAATAAATATAATCTCTCTATTTCTGCTCATTAAATGGTATTCTTTTAGGGGTGGGTATAATTGCTGCTTTTGTTTTAGCTTTCATTTGACAAGCATCTCAAATGCTTCACATGATAGATGACCTTCAAATTTGAGACACATCTATATATTTTAGCATCCCTACATTATTAAAAAAATGTTTTTACCTGGATAAGTGCCAGACTACTTTCTTAGTTCTTTGTTTAGTTACTTGCATTACCGCTTTAACTTTCAGCTTATATATGTAGCTACTGATGTTTGTCATTTTGTGTTTACATAAATGGGACTCTACACTTTGGTAATAACTAATATGTACTATATGTGTCCAATTTTAACCGCTTATTGAATTTTGATCCATGATAACCAGGCTAGACTTAAGAGAGTATTTTGATGTGGGTTTCCGAGTTTTAATGATAACAAGAAAAGAACACAGAATCTAATTGAGTGTATAAAGAATGTACAAAATGGGCAGATCAAATATGGAGTATATAAAGAATGAAGAAAGAATATAATTGAGTGAATAAAATTTTGTGGTACTATACAAATGGACTGCTCACTCTGAGCCCATTACTCACTATGGTTTTAACCTTTGGGCCTTTAGTTGGTACCTAGCAAAGAATCATCTATAAGGCTTCTAACCCTGCCTTTGTTTATTTAGTTAATATGATGGGTTTGATGCCAAAGGTTTTTCAAGAACTATATGACAGGACCTGTGCTCTGTGCATGTGCTTTGTTATTGATGGTGGATTTAGGTCACCTTGTAAAGGGCTTTTGGCTGCTGTTTCTGTGTTGCCAAACGACCAAGTGCAGAAATAAATAAATAAATTTCTGGACCAAGTAGAGTGAAACTTTGCAGTGTGAAAACACCCTTGAGTATAACTAGGGATGGGCCCTAGGTAGATGGGCGGCTTTAAAAAGTTGAGTGCAAAAAAGGTTTAACAGATACTCATTGATATGATTGATTCCCATCCCTTGCTTCAAGAAGTGGGTTCCATGGCATTTTGCATGTGTGCTGTTTGCCCAGCAAAGTTTTGAGACATGGATATGGGATTGCACGTGGCACCAGCTTCAGCTTCATTATGAACCAGACATCAAGTCTGGCAAGCTTTGGTGGATATCGTGAAGATTTTAGCGGAATCGTGAAGATTCTACAGAGAGGTTATTCACTTGTTTTTGACTTTCCATGTTCATTACGGACAACCTTGCATGCTCCGTTGCCTGACCTTTTTACCTATTGAAATGTGTCCTCCCCTCATGCCAAGTACCTTATTCAACTTACATATATTTATGATATACTCCAACTTTTGCTGTTGGCTAGGTAAAAAGTAGGCCCTTTAACATGTTATGAGTAAGATGGACAACATGATTATGACTTACCAGTTCAAAATATTGTATAGATGCACCAAAAAAGTTTCCAACTGAGAAATTGTCATTGAGTTTCGTAAACAGCAATACATGACTTAAACTGGAAACTCCTGTGTCTTCCAGTAATCCAATCCCAATAGAGGGAAACTGTATTATGCTTGGAATGAGCTATGGGATGTTAATTTTTGTCCCAATGCCATTGTGCGCATGCTGCTGTGATAGGTGTTGATTTAAGCCTAGTACCTACCAGTTTGTTACTGGGTGGCTATAATGCAAATGAAGTTCAAGGTGGGGCTTCTTGAACTTCTTGTGACCCCTCTAGCTGCTTGTCTTGAATGGGCAGAGATCTTGAGATGTTTGATCTAGCTTTGTCTAGCTTTTTCATGTCGGCTGTTATCACTTTGCCTGCCATTGTCAATGATACAGGTAAAAAGTAGGAACTCTTTTATGAAATATCTCCACAGGTTTGCTTCTTTTCTGGCAATGAAGCACTCACATGCTGTGTTCTCTTCTCAGAATCTACCCACATCACATCAATTAATAATGCTTTGACATAATATCATATTGTGTAGATTTTGCCTGTACTTCTTGGGAATGTAGTATACCTTTTGTTTAATTGTCATGCCATCTACACTGTTAAATACTTTCCTGCTTTCTCTTACTCTGTATTTTACTGTTTGTATATGTATAGGTAACGACCATCTTTGCCGAGCAATATCAACTGATCAATGAGTTTTCGTCTCTTAGTAACATAAACCAACAGAAGAACCTTTCCCAACATCTGCATTTTAATTTCTAGGGAAATTACATTTACTTGCATGACCCACATTCCCACTGACTAGTGTTACCATGATTCTCTGTTCTCGTTACTCAGACATTAGAAACTACTTCCAATAGAATCAAGGCACTCTCTCAAAGAGCACTTTGGCTATGTGGAAATTGATGGTTCCCGGATTACAATAGGCAGTGTAGTAAAAAGTTTTTGTTACAGTGAGAAACGTTTGCTTGACATCTGAGTTGAGATCGTCTTCGGAGTCTTTTGTCAGCACCATTTTGACCAGGTATTGCATGTCGGACTCTATCTCAGTGGTTGTGTTTTCATGTGGCCTTTCCAGTGGTTGACTCTGCAAAAGTTGACATCTTTTTTGTTTTAACATGATGATTTTAAATATTGGAGAACAGTGTGGTGCATAAGAATAGTGAATTTCTGACCTTGCTTTGCCGAAAGATACTTAGCTGGTGGCATACTCTGTTGGTGATCTCCATCAACTGTTGATGTTTTGGATGGGACAGCAATAACTCCTCAGACACCGAACGTCCGGTGAACAGATTCAAAGTGCGCACTATGAGTTCTGCATCTCCTTCTCGCGTGCCACCGTCCTTTTCCCAGGTCAGCAGCCATTTTCCCCACTACAGAGTACATGACATGAAAACATTAGCTTGCCACCCAGACAGCTAAAACAAGACAAAATGCTTTTTTCTTTCGGGAGGTGTTTATGGGATTGTGGAAGTCTTTTTTTTTTGTTGTGGACATTTAAGTGTTATGAACAGGCCTTAACTTGAAACCGGTACCACTAATCGTCAGACATACCAGGCCAGCCCAATTAAGAGGCAAAGCGCTGGCTAAATTGGTTTCTCCATACGAGGAGATTTCAAACTCTCGAGAGAGTGCACGACACTCAAACCAACCAAGCTGGTTGTGGGGAAGTCTTCTTTGGAATGATGATAACTGCAAAACTTACAGCTTGGTGCAGGTACTGATGGATATCCCTTCCGTGAGCCAGGAGTGCGTCCAAGGAAAGCTGGTTTATGGTTTCACGTAGCGTCTCGACAAGTGTCACCTCTCTTGTCTTGTTCTTGGCATTGTAGTCGTCAATGCTGACATTGCTCGTGAATTCATAGATAAAAGCCTTTTTCTGGTCCCGACAAATTTCCTCCCTGCCAACCTGAAACTTGGCAGTGATAGCCTCTATGAGTGCCGAGGTTTTGGCCCATGCAAGCCTCTCTTTCGACCGCTCCGGCTCAAAGATGCTGGCCATGGCTAAATAGTACCCCAGCAACAAGCTTCTCTCGCTCACTCCATACTGCGCCAGATTGCAGTCTTTGTACCACCTGCATGCAACACATTACACACTCCTTTGTTACATTGCTAAGTAGATCAATTTGTTAACTTGGTAGGCACAAGGTTACAAGTTCGATACTTAGCGGGAACAGTCTATTGACTTTGGTTTGAGCCACAACACGTCAAGGTTGTTGACTTGGTAACAACAAGGTTACAAGTTCGACTCTTAGCGGAACAGTCAATTGGTCTTGGTTTGACCTAAACTCGGGTAGTAACTGCTGGTTTTTCCCGTCACAAACAACAAAAAATATTACAAACTAATTCAAACCATAGAGCCCACAAAACCACATACTTGCGGATAATCTTCCATTCCAGCTGGTGAATTGCCTGGCAGTAGTTGTAATCCAATTTCCCCAGCTCCAAATACATGTTATTGTTCACAATAGGCATCCTGCACGCCATTGCAAAGCCTCGTAGTTTAGTGGTACGAAGTGTAATACTATCTTAACACTTGTTCTTAAAAAAGTAAGTGTACCGATATAAAGTCTTGCCGATCCAAACATCATCTTCCCCACCGTACTGTTCCAAGAATAGCCGTGTTTCTATCCGTGGTAAGCTACCGTACCATGGCACGTCAAGTGCATATCCCACCTGTTGGATATCGTTAGCCAATTGCGACGAGATAAAATAAGTAAACTCTACTTATGTATAATAGCGGGGTAATAATACCTCGCCCGGGAGATCTTTGGTAATGATCCACTTATCCAAGAGCTCATTACTAGCTCGCTTTTGTTGCAGAAAACCGGAGGAAAAATTGTTGGCGCGGTCGAGAACTTCCTCTCCGGGGAACCGTACCTGAGAAGCCCTGTACAGATTGTACATTCCGGTCACCGCATGGCCCGCCTGCCCTACAAAGCAGAAGAACTCTCCCCCTTTTTCGAAGTTCTTGAAAACGTCTGCCACCCAAATTCCAAGATATACATTGATTTCAGTGGAACATTATTAAATATTAATTACTTAGTATTAATGTTAATTAACTTCGCTTAATTACCAGGAGAAACCTCGTAACCATGCAGCCTTAAAAGCCTAAACGCCATAGCAGTGTCATCGATGTCTTCAACTCTAGTATTTCTAGCCCAACAAATCCCTTTGTCACTCCAATACCTGAAAAAAATGAAGTTAGAATTAATGGGATTCTACACGAATTTCGAGAGTTTTACACTGAAATTTTACATAAAAAGTAAATTACATATTTCAACTTCAGTCATTAAAACATGACTATTAACTCTTTTAAATTGGTCAAAACACTTTTTTTACCAATTATAAAATTCCATGGTCAGTCATTACTGACTCCAATATCTGAAAAAATGAAGACATAATTAACAAAATTGGACCCTAATCTCAAGAGTTTCACCATCCCTACAGTGTTAACTTTATCAAAAAGATAAATCACAAATTTCAACTCAAATCATTAAAAAAAAAAAGAATATTAACAATTTTAAATTCCTCAACCAGTTAAATATATGATAATTGGAAGAAAAAATGAGAGCTAGGCATAGATATATTATGTATGTACCTATGTATATATTTTTTTTTTTTGATAAGATGTACCTATGTATATAGTCAATGCATTCATCTATTTCTGGCTTCACATATCTTGAAATCCCAAGCCTCTGGAGTCGATCAACGGCCCAGATATGTTCAAACATGTCCACGGGGTACACATTCGGCACTAAATTAAACATCATCATTAAGTGTCAATTAATCTCATTATTTAATTCACTAATCATCAATAATAATAATAATTAAATAATTACCTCCGCCATTAAACTTTCGAACGGCGTTTGCGAGGTAGCGCAGGCAATTATCATCCTTTGTCTGCATGAGCGCATAGGCTGTGGAGGCTGGGGAGAAGAGAAAAGAGCCATCATCACACTTGAGGCGAAGAAGCTTTTGCCACTCCAAACCCTCCATTCCTTCCAAGCTGTGCAGTAGCGTTGTGGGCACTTCATGCATTAGCTCCCTCGGAATCCTATCTCACACCCACGTATACATGTAATCATTACACACCATATATATAATTGCAGGCAATATAGTATGCATACTTTACTTTATACATATTTTATTAAGAAAAAAAACCCTAAGAAAGGATCAAATTAAACTAGATTGTCATGGTTGACTGACTCAAATAAATAAGACTAATAGGCAGCTGTCATATAGTAAAGGTTGGAACTTTAGTGACCAAATTAATTGTTTGGTCAACTTAAAATGTGGGTGAAGCCAATTTTGTAACCAGGTGATAAATAACCTGCATTGCTAACTGACTCAAACCAGATATGTCAAAACTTAACTCCAATGAAATTAAATTTGAAATTTTGGGATTATCAAACTAATTGTTTGACTAACTTGAGTATGGGTGAAACATGCCTTGTAACCGTAACAGAACCAGCTCAAACCAAAAAGAAATTAGAAATCGAATTCATCTTGAAACCTTATGATTACCGAGCCATCTTGTTCAGAGTTTTCTTAATATAGTCCAAATATTTTAGTTTATCTTGGAGCTAGTGCATGATAGCATACTGCAATCATGTGTTCTGATCTGATATATTAAAGCAGCAGGCCAGGGAAGATAGATACATTGCATGCATGCTTACTTTTTGAGCTTCAAATTCCGATGGGCATAAATGTCCTCCACCACCGGAGCCTCATCGGGAAACTCAATGCCCAGTTTCTTTGCCATCTCAATCAGCGACGGAAACGCCACCTCAAACCCGATCGGCATGTGCTCTGCATTTTCTTCTCCTAGCTTCTTCATGTTCTCTCGTAGGAACATCATTCCTAGTTCCAACAAAACCAAACCTAAATCATTACTCCTCACCTTGGTGCATCTCATAATTATCATCATATCGCATGTTCCTTTCCTCACAATCATTTCTCCATCAATATAATATATATATTCAAAAATCATACAAACCCTGACAGTAATATCTTAAGAGACCGTAAAATCCGTGAGACAGTTTTACACAAATTTTTATTTTTATTTTCTGTATATAGTGCCCAGTATTCTTGTTTAGGGTTAAGTTGAACTTGATATGTAGGGACATGATGAATTGACTAAAACATGCACAGTTATATCCACTATAAAAATCACGGCTGGTGATTAATGTTATATTCTTTCGGTTAGGGCTATATAATATATATATATACACACACAGTGATAACGTAAGACCAGTACTTTGTCGAATGAAATGCAAATTGCAATGCAAGGAATATAATTGACGTACGGTGACAAAATAAACCATTCTGGCAGATTTGTCCTGAAACATTTTAAGATATATTAAGACTTATGTCTCACAAAACAACAAATATGTATGCATAAATACAATTTGTCGCGGGTATATAATTTGTACTCTATAAAACAGCAAAAACATATAATGTAGTTCTATCACAATATCGTTATCCTATTGTCATTTTTTTAATAGTACATGTCATGTCTCACAACATGTACAACAACTATCCGATATCATGTGTGTACTTTAAACTCGATAAAATATGTCCGAACAAATTTAGTTCACCGGTTCAGTACTTGAAAGAACATATAAAATGACAAAATACGGGATATAACTTTATCGGGGACAGGGTTACCTTGGTTGCATTTTTGGGGGTGCATGTCCCATGATTTTAAGGCGATGACGCAAGCCAAGGTGTTGAGTATACGGTCGTGAGCCAAGAAGATGAACTGGTCACCCCAGGAACCGTCCGGCAGCTGGTTGTCGGCGATCCAGTCGAGGGCGGTCGGGAACTGCGGAGATTCGCCGCCGTTGATGTCCTTCACCAGCGCCACCCACGCCGTGTCGTACGCCGACACGGTGATGTCACCGTCGTCCATCGACCCTAGCATCGCCCGGACGGTTTCCACTCCTTCCTTTATCTTATTTGATGTACTTACCTTCTAATCAAACCAAACGTTACTTAATTAATTACGTAATTATTATTATTATTATGTATAATAAAGTACATTGGAAAAGAGAAAAAGAAATGAACAGTTGAACCTTTGGCCTTTTCTTTTTTTTTTTTAAAGAAAAAAAAATTCATAATTTAATTAACCACCACCTCAGCTCACCTCTTGAGTAATGTCTTCTTCCCTAACCCCATCCCACTCTATTACTGGCAAACCATTTTGCAAAACCTCAGTGTACTCTGCATATTATATGTCAGAATTTCATTGAGGAAACAAAATAAAGTAAAAAGTGAGAGTACATATATAAGCCTCGTACATAAACATACCTTCTGTACGAGGCTTTGATAAAGCATTGCATTGCAGATTCAAGTTAAGCCGATTTTTGCCCAAACACCATATGCCAGCTGCACCAATGAGTTGATCAATAATCAATATTAAATATATATAATCAGGTACGAATCAATCTTAATTTACAAACTGCAAACTTGTTAAAGATTGCACCGCATTTATTATATAATTTCACCGCAAGATCCTACAGATATGTCTGGAAACCATAACAGTACAATCATGTAGTACTTGTTATGCAATCCTTTACAAGCTCGCAGTTCGCATGTTATATATATACTCACCGTTGAAGAAAGACTTTAGAGGCGGCGGAGACGGCGGCGGTGGATTAGAAGAGGGGTAATGGCGAGTGGAGGGGGGTAGTCTGAGTAAGGAAGCAGTGAGGAAACATTGAGAAGACATGTTTCCTTAGCTTTGTGAAAGAAAAGAAGTGCCAATTTTTTTGTTTTGTTATGCGATGGAATGATGGAATGAAGGAAGAGAATCCCTCTAATGTATATATATATTGGAGTGTGAGAGTTTTGTGTATGCATATATAATGGGAGATTGAGTGGGTTTTAAAATGAAGGGGGGAGACGAAGGGGAAGAAGACAAACGGGCTCCCAATTCGAATCCCGTTATGACTGCATGGGCATCGCAATTTCCAAAGAAAAATGGTAATCTCCCGTTACATTTTATATGTCTGGTTCTGAGTGAGTATTTTATGAATTCTAAAAATCTACTCTAACTTTTTAATTCCTTACACATTTTTATGTAACAATTGTTTACTGGGATCGTGAAGATAACATATCATTATTTGTCACGTTCATAAGTAAAAAATGCGAGTAAAATTTGAAACCCAAACTCATTCCCAAATTCATGAAAAAATATTGAGTAGAATTTGAAACGCAAACTCATTCCCAAATTCATGAAAACAATAACACTATTGTCATGACAATCATGTATTCTTTACGTCCCACAAAAAAATTGCTACACCCAATCTTTCATCTTTTAATAGTATAATAATAAAAAAGTGCTTCCTAATTACTTTTACTCTTTTATCTTTTATCACACTTCGAGTTTTAGTTAGAGATTCATTTTGTGATGATTAAGGGTTCGATTGTCCATCTTGCTTTTCTTCTTTGGCGCTTTATTTTAGTGAATCGTTATGATATATGATTTTATAAGGAGTCCATCCTCTTATTTTGAGAGGTTTGGTGACATTTGATCATTGGTCGAGTTGTGACAAATTTCACCTTTATAATTAATTGATTTGTTTATGCGGACAAAAATAAAGTATTATTGTTTGTAATAAACTCACACTTATTGTCACTTAGAAATATTTAATTAAAAAAATTAAGACCACTAACACTTCCATATATGGTTTTAATATGTATATTACGTTCAATATATATAGGACCACCTACCTACCTTCTTTATTTTGTGTATAAAACATTAAAATATAGGCATCCAAATATAATATTAAGTATTATCTTATGATGTGGTAAATACTCAAAGTTCCATGAATACACCTACGTGTAGCTTGCGAAATAGGTTGATGAGTTCATATAACTTAGACAGAAGGATGGACGCTCCTGACCTGAGATGTACTGTCAACAAGAAAATCTAAAAGTCATTTTCACACGCATTAAATGTGCTATTTATAGGAGTTAAGAGAGGACACATTTTGACCGTTCGTGATGCCCGCCACGTGTTCCACATGCATCGGTGCGCTTGGTGGCTCTCCTAGTAGGTTCACGTGTCCACGATTCCTAACGAGTTTGACTATGGCGTGATCGGGCAAAGCTACACCAGAGGTACTTTGTCCTCGATCTAGTGTAGGAGACAATCTGTTAGGAGTATATGATCCGAGCGTTGAGATCGGGGTCAAGCTGAGAGGACGTTATTTGTTGACTAATAACCTTAAAGGTCGAATCTATAGCTCAACTCGGGTCAGGTTGGGCCCACACGAGGTCGGTTACGCTCGGGAAATGTTCATCAAGACACACAGTAGTACTGAGCAGATATGCCGTCGTACACTTGGGGATTATTTCCTATCAATATACATTTTGGGATAAGTATTATCTACATTTCGTAAATCAAAAGTATATTAGGAGGCAATCCTTGACCAAATTAGTTGGATGATTGACTTGATAACCACAACGTTCTAAATTCAATATTCTTTGAGAGTTGTTTATTAATTTGTTGGGTTTTAGTCAATTAGTAACACGCATGTGAATTAATTTAGAATTAAGTAGAGCATTAATATTATATTATTCATTGTATGAAGTCCTCTATTATTTCATTACCTTATTTGTTCTGTCAACACTCTTAATGTCTTGTTCTAGGTTTATACATTCCCTGCATTTAAAAAAAGTATTTATACAATTAAATATAAAGTAATTTTTTATCCACAACTTTTTAAATTCGGCCAAATACCCACCTCAACCAAACTCAAATAATAGCTAGGGACCTTTATTTGTATATTGTCCAATTAATTAAGCTTGCTATAATGGAATTGTTTAGGAGAGATTGAAGTTGTAGGATGCTACATGTTCCTTCTCAGTATTTATTGTTAGAATTGCAGGTGTTTGATGGACCCATTCTAAATGATTTATAGTTATTAAGATTGTAAAAGGCGCTAAGCGATCATCGGATGATGGATAGGCGCTTAGGCAGGTGCTTAGATATATAAAATTTAAAAAAAATTGCCTTTTATTATTTTTGTCTTTAATATCAAAGCATAAAAAACATTTGATTTACTTTAGACTTCAATGCCAAAGTATAAAAGACCTTTCATTTACTTCAAAGTTTCAATGACAAAGCATACTAACATAGAAGACCTTTCATTTCTTTCAGTCATAAATACTAAAGCAAATGTAAAAAAGTAAAGTCTAGGTGCATAAAAAATTTTGAGGGTTTTGCAGTTTTGGTCTCACGTCGACTTAAGGGCGTCTAGTGCCTAATTGACCTAATTGACACCTATGTCATTTTTTACAAGAGTGAGAATTGCTATTAGCTACAGATTGTACTTTACAATTTCTCATATGTGGTGCGACTTGACCATTGTTTATGTAGGTCATCAATGTTTTCCCTTTACATGACCATCGACAAATTTTTAAAACTCCTATACAACAAAAATAAATAAATAAAGTCTAACGACAATACCTATGTTGATAAAATATACGATGTTGGATTTGAGCTATATTATCCCCATCTCCAAGTCAAAGAAGAGATTCAGATGTTTATTGATTTATCAAGTCAGATAAGATAGAAGAAGAGAAGAAGAAGAAATTAAGTCAGAGAAAAGGTGATTGCAAATGAGACTTGGGGCAATTTGGATTTTGGTTGTCCAATTTTTTGACAAGTGATCTAGACTAGCTAGTAGAATATGCTTCTCAGCCCGGCCATGTTGATCTTGCACAACGTACAGTGTGATTAGACTAGTGGGTCCTTTCAACTCACTATAACAATAATAAAGAACGAAGTCTGCATGGACAGTTCAGTTGGTCACATTGGTGAAATTTAGGAATAATGATCCTGTATTGAGTCTTACAAACGACTGTTCAGTTGAATTACTATGATTTATGGTTCCCAAATTCTCTGTCAGGTCAGAGCATGGAGACTCATTGGAATTGGAAATTCAATCTTTTTAGAAACAATAATAAAGAACAGAGATACCTCATGAGTGAAGAAATTGCTCGAATATATTTATGGGAAGTTCAACTTAATTAAGACTTGCATGCTTTTTTTTTTTTTTTTTAAAGACGATTTAATTCTTACCACAAATATTATAGATTTGAGTTTGTGTTAGACTTTTTATAAGCAAAAATATAAAGTTTACGTACGTTTGGGTTGGGGCTCCTTGTACGTATAATTATATTCTTCCGAAGGCTGAACCCCAACCCTAAGGGCTCCCTACACCCCGACCCGACAGAGCATTTGAGCTATATTCTTCTAAAGGCTGAATCCCAACCTTAAGGGCCCCCACACCCCGACCCGACAGTGCATTTGGGAGGATGTGAGTTTCCCGACCCGACAGAGCATTTGGGCTATATTCTTCCAAAGGCTGAATCCCAACCCTAAGGGCCCCCACACTTCGACCCGACAGAGCATTTGGGAGGATGTGAGTTTGTGTTAATTTGTGTTAAGACTTTTTATAAGCAAAAATATAAAGTTTACGTATAACTATATTTTTCCAAAGGCGAGGCTAGACCTATGCTCACTGCGCACAAGGAACCCCCCTCACTTTGAGAGGTTGCTCCCACACTGCCGCTGGTGAGACTCAATCCCTGGTCATTCTTCCAAAATTTCACCTCTGTGACCAATTGAGCTGCCCATGCAGGTATGTATGTATAACTATATATAAGTGTACAATTTGGTGTTATAGTTTTAATTTTTGAGAAAACGTTTTAGCACCTAACTTCTCATTGATCTCTTTTAAGTAAATTGTAATTTTAATCAGAGAGTAAACTTTTTAGTACTTAACATAAGTCTAGATCCTTCCAAGTAAGTTATAGTTTTAGAAATAGAGTAATATAATCATTAAATTGCGTTACAATTTTGTTTAATAAACGAATATAACTTTAATGGAGTATAGTCATTTGTTGCTTCAATGATTGAAAGTGCAACTTATTATATGAAATGTTAGGGGTATATTACAATAAATAAGTTTTTTTTTTTTTTGCTAAAGGACAATAATGAATTGAACACATAATTTTATATTACGGATAATCATTTGCTTAATTAGCTTTCAAGGGCTCATAATTAACAAGGATTTAGAATATAATATAATACTGCATCAGTATAATTATTTCATATCATATGTTAATTAAATCCACGTACGAATTATAAGGTGAATGGTACGTTGTTACTGCTGTTTTCGATGGTTAAGGGAACAAGATGGATTGATTGGCCTCGAAAATGGTCATCAAAAGGTATATATATATATATATATATATAAAGTCGAGAGTTTAATATATATTTACCTGTCAATTCAGTTTGTCACATAGAATTTTTTTTAGTGCAGTTGTGGTTTGCCTATTAAGGTTGGAACTTCCAATAATAGTACAGTTTACAAGTATTGTATAGTGATTTGTATATATTAGTGGGATTTTTCTCTGGAATTTATTTCTTTTGTATAATAGTTTACCCATAAGAGCAGTGTCTTTCTAGTACAGTTTGCATCTTTTTTATGATAACTTGTCTATATTAATTGAGTTTTTCAGTGCAATTTATATCTCTCTTATGTGGTGATTTGCCTGCTAGGGTGTTCTAAGTGCAATTTATCTAGATATTATGTGATGGTTTGCTCATAGAAGAAACGTGTTTTTCCTAGTACGGTCTACTAAATTTATCTATCTGTGAGTGATTTATTTACACACACAATTTGTGGTTGATGATGCATACGCTATAAGCCCAACCGAGCAGACCAGGTAACTGACCGGCGACCGACCATACGAGTTATTGACTAGGTAGAAATACATTATTGCCGAGACTTCCCGGTCACCGGACCAGGTTGACCCGGATATTCACCT